GGCAGGTGGAGCCAGAAGGACCAGGAGGGACCATGGGGCAGGGAATTTATTGGGATAGAGCAAGGGGAGTGTCTGGGGTCTGCAGCAATCTCAGGATTGTTGCACTTCCAAGCTTGGGCCACCTGTCCTGTGTTGATTGGCCAGCTGCAGCTACAGGAAGGCTGCTATGGCTTGTAGGCCTTCCCAGGATGGTTGCTGTGCTCTGCACTACCCTGTTAAAGCGCACCCAGAGCCCGCCAGCTAACTTCTGATTGGTTCCCCTTGCCACATGGAGGGTATCTGGCTTCCTAATGACTTGGGTGCTGAGTCAGTGGCCTTTGACTTGCTGGATCTTTTCTTCAGCCTGTCATGATTGCCAAAGCAGGGGGCTGGGTGAGGGTCTGGTCCCTTCAGAATGACCAGGTCTTCTGTTGTTCTCAAATTACAGGAAACTTACTAATTTCTTTTATGACTTTGAATTTAAAACCATCTGGATTTAACGAAAAAGCTGTGCTGAGTAATACAATGTGCCATGCCACCTTTCACCTGTCCAGAGACCACAGTCAGTGCTGCCAGATTGTCCTCCTCACAGTCTTTAAGGCAAAGGGCCTGGTCAAGGATGGCGGCTAGTTCAGTCGTCAGGTCTCCTCAGACTCCTCAGTGTTTCTCTGACTTCCTGACCTCAGCATTTTGGAAGATGACAGGCCAGTTATTTTTCAATTTGTCCTTCAATTTGGGTTTGTCTATATTTTCTTATGATTAAACTTTGGTTGTTCATTTGGGTCAGAATTTCAGAGAAGTGATGGTAAATTCCCATTTCATTATATTTGATGGCACATGCTAATTATTTAGTATTTGATTAAGATAGTGCCTTCCAAATTTCTCCGTTGTAAAGTGACTTTTTCTTCCCTCTGTGGCTACCAAGAATTTGTGAGGAGGTAGTTCAAACCATGTAAAAACTCATTCCTTATCTCATTTTCACCAGTATCTTTCATATCTATTGATACTTCTTGCTTGAATTAATTAATTATTACAGCAGTGACTGCTAGATGATGATTTTCAAATCCCATCATTCTTTTATTTGTATTATTTGGCATTTTACTTCAAGGAAAAGGTTCTTTTTCTTTCTTTTTTTTTTTTAAACTTTTTATTATAGATTTAAATTAGGAACAAGTTTGCTTCCCATGTGAATCCCAGCTCCCTCTCCCTCCAGTCCACACACACTCCCTTCCCCAGCTCCCCAACCCCCATCCAATCCCCACTGCATTCCTTAGGGAGGGTAAGGCCCTCCATGGGGAAATCTCTAGAATCTGTGATTTCATTTTGGGGAGAGCCCAGGCCCTCCCCTAAAGTGTCCAGATTGAGAAAGCATCCCTCATTGTGGGATGGGTCCCCAAAGTCCATTTGTGTGCCAGAGATAAATACTGATCTACTACCCAAAAACCACATAGATTGCCTGAGTCTCTTCACTGACACCACATTCAGGGGGTCTGGATCAGTCCCATGCTGGCCTCTTAGCCATCAGTCTGAGGTCCAAGATCTCCCCCTTGTTCAGGTCAGCTGTTTCTCTGGGTTTCACCAGCTCAGACTTGACCCCTTTGCTCATCACTCCTCACTGGGTTCCAGGAGTTCAGTTCAGTGTTTAGCTGTGGGTGTCTGCCTCTGTTTCCTTCTGTCACTGGATGGAGGTTCTAGGATGGTATGTAAGATAGTCGTCAAAATCATTATTAGGGAGGGGCATTTAAGGTAGTCTCTCTACTACTGCTTAGATTGCCAGTTGGTGTCATCCTTGTAGATCTCTGGAGATCTCACTAGTGCCAGATCTCCCCTCAAACCTAGAATGGCTCCCTCTATTAAGGTATCTCCTTTCCTGCTCTCCTCTATTCTTCCCCAAACTCAACCTTCCTGCTCCCCCATGTCCTCCTCTCTCTTCCTCTTCTCTCCCTTTCTTTTTTCCTGGCCCTGTCTCCCCTCCCCCACCGTGTGCTCCTGATCAGCTCAGGAGATCTTGCCTCATTCCACCTTCTCTGGGGTACCATGTATGTCTCTCTTAGGGTCCTTCCTGCTTCCCTGCCTCTCTGGCTGTGGGATTGTTGACTGGCACTCCCCTGATTCAGGTCTAAAATCCTTATATGAGTGAGTACATACCATGCTTGTCTTTTTGTGACTGGGTTACCTCACTCAGGATGGTTTCTTCTATTGCCATCCATTTGCCTGCAGATTTCAAGATTCCATTGTTTTAGAAAAGGTTATTCTTCTTATACTTATGATTATGTATTCATTTGTTTATACCAGTGCATATTGAAAGATTTCGATTTTAATGGGTCTCTTTATTATACTATTTTCGTGCTCTGTTGGTTTCAGGTTTGGCCAGTGGGAGCCCTGTATGCTGGCTTTTGTGTCCTTTTAACAGGTCTCTATAGTTCCTTGAGTATAAAACATTTCAGGCCCATCTTATTCTGACCCAGCCCTGGAATCAGTCATCTGTCTCCAAGGAACACTGGTTACTTGGTCATGGAGAACAGTATTTAGAAATGAAGGTTTGGCCAGGCAGTGGTGGTGCAGGCCTTTAATCCCAGCCCTTGGGAGGCAGAGGCAGGTGGATCTCTGTGAGTTCTGGGCCAGCCTGGTCTACAGAGCAAGTTCCAGGATAGCCAGGGCTATCTTGAAAAAACAAAAAAGAGAGAGGGGTGGCAGGGAAGGAAGGTTTAGATACTAGATGATCTCACTGCTTTGGGGCTTGTGATAGAGAGACCTAGAAAACATGTCTGTGTGTATGTTCCTCACCTACATTTATTTCTATATCTGTGCATCAGAAAATTGGGTTATATAAGCATTTAGAATTCTACTCCAAAATTCAGAGTATATATTAGCCTTTGTGTTTTCCATATTTTTGTCTCCTATTCCAACAAAGAAAAAGCTGTCTCCCAATATCTTTACCATATTTATTTATTTACTCAGTTTTCTTGTTTGTAGCCAGTCTCTTGGCTTTGCTGGGCTACATCCATTCTGCACATTTATCCCATGGGCTATTGCTCTGCATAGATAACCTTCTTCATTCCCCCAGGGCTTGCTTTTCCATCCATACATTGTCTTCCTCATGGAGCTGCAAGAAGTTAGCTAGCCAAATCATTCAAGTTAAAAGCAAAAACAAACAAAAACCGTCCCAGACCAAATCTTTGAGGGTTAACCAGATAATATGACCCGATCTGGGAATTGTGTTACTTCTCATTTAGACAATAGGAAGAAAATGGTGATCAGAGATGAATGTGGTGTGTTTAACACAGGTTTTCATAAGAACTGTAAATGTAACTGATTAAGCCTCGATTCTTTCTGTATGGTCTACATGCTTGTTCTTTGGACTGTGAGATAACAGAGTCATTTTGCCCTATCGGGCATTTGCTGTCAAACTCTTCACTCTTGACTCTTTTTTGTTTCTTAGACTGTAGAAGCCTACTCTGTGACATCAGTAATGTTGTCCATTCCAATGAAAGGACGATGAGGAAGAGAAAAATGATTTGTAGATGCCCTGCGCTCTTGAAAAGAGTATAGGGGTCCAAATGCATAGGACCCCAGATTCAGCCCACTTGTGCTTCTGCTGGACCTTTTATGTTGAGAGGGTTACATCAAGTATGCAGAGTCAGCCAAGAAGAGACATCTCCTTCCCTGACCAGGGCTTTCTCTCCCTCATACTCAGTACTTGCCGAGGGAAATAATGACAAGCACTATGTCACCATGAGTTGATGTCTATTGGAGGCAGGCAGTCTCTGGATCATGGTGTGTCCTTTTGCATTTCATAAGAATTCAGAGAATGAATTCCACCTACTCTGAGAATCATTATATGAAGATGGCAAAGAGTTAAATGATAACTGAAGTTTCTGGAAATTTTGAGGTTTTTTTTTTCTCAAGCGTAGACAGTGCTTGTCAAATTCTCTTTTAGCCATACATGCCTGGTCAAAATTTTCTTGTTATCCACATCCTTTTTCCTGACCTCATGTTTGTTTATTTTAGTTTCTTGGTTTTTTTTCTTTTTTCTTACTTTTCTTTCTTTGGCTCTTGTATATATCTGGTACAGGGAATTAGGGAGTGGAGATGGTGGGGTGGGTGAGAGGAAATAGAGAAGAGGAAAAAATTTTAAATCCTGACCTTTAATGTGGTAAAAATCATGTTGACTTCATAGTCTGGGTAAGCATATGTAAATGATTTGTAAATCATATGAAAATAAACTTGTGGCCTTCTAGTTTTTTTTCACACACTTGGATCTGTGTCTTGGGAAAAGCACTTTAGAGCAGGGTGATATGGCACTAAGTGTGTGAACTATTGTCTTGAGGCCTTTCTGATAGTGAGCATTGCTGGACAGTTTTTCTCTCCCTGCTTGCTTCCTGCATTAGCCAATGTGTTTTATGCTTTGATCTTCTCTTAACAGTAATCTCAGACATGGAGTTGCTCTTGGCCTTTCCTGTGCTGAGCCATGTCTGTGTTGTTGCTTTTAGGGTCCTCCTTAAGTCATTGTGTGTCCGTGCTGCAAGTCTGCCCAGCTGCCCAGCTTGTAAATTACTGTGCTTTGAATCTTCATTCTTCCCATTGATAGAAGGATAAGAGAAGCAGCATCTAAGCCATGGGCTTTTAGTGTTTGTAATCTTGGAAAAGTCTTTTTTTTTTTTCCCCTTTGGATACACGGTCTAATCTGGTACTTTCTAGGTAGACCAGGCATATCTCTGTCTCCCAAATGTGTTTCACCTGACCAAATTATTCAGTCTTTATGGATCGTATTTAGTTTTATACATATTTAAAATTTTGATGTATCGTGGATCTATTTCATAAGAGTTGCTTTTAGGATTGAATTGATATGCGATAATCTATAGAACACACTTCTCACAGGAGTTACCACTTAGAAGAGATCAGTATTTGTTAGATAATAGGGTCGCCCTCCTTGTAAGATAATGCTATTGTGATCTCCCCAATCTTCAGTTCCACTGAAACTGTTCCTGGCATTTAACCTGTTCAATTCTTCCTATCAGGTTTGCAACTGTGCGATATGATCAAGGATCCAAGAATATTCGGAACCAGTTCATGCACCTAACGAACTATAGTGTGAACAAGAAGAGTGGAGACTACGTGAGGTACTGGCTGTGCCTGGGCTAGGAAGCAGACTCAGGTGTGACTGTGGGGACATTGAAAGCTAACAGGCTGCACTGGAACATAATATCAGGAATACTTAGTGACACCGGAGGATCAAATGTCTTTTTTTTTTTAATCCGTCTCTGCATATGGGTATTTTGGGTGTGTATCTATATCATGTGTGTGCCTGGTGCCCTCGGAAGCCAAAAGAGAGTGTTAGATCCTCTGTAACCAGAGTCCAGGTGGTTGTTGGCCACCATGTGAGTGTTGAGAATTGAATACAGGTCCTCTAGAAGAGCAGTGAGTGTTCTGAGCCACTGAGTCCTCTCCAGCCTCTCCAGGATCAGTTCTGAGGCATTTCTTTTGGCTGATGCTGCCTCTCCGTGGCATATCCCAATAGAGGGTCACCTTAGTCTACCAAAGTACAACTTTGCCATTTGTCTTTCCCTGCTTGACTGAGTGTTGAGTATTTCAGCTTGGGAATCATATCAAAAGCTTAAAATGATTTGTATCCTTTGACACTGCAGTTCCATTTCTATGAGTTTACCTTAAGGATGTGTGTATAGGATCAGAGCTAAGAACCATCTTTTCTGTGTATTGTTTAATGGAAACACACATTGACACAGTCCATGCAGCAAACACCTTGACTGACTCAGTCTGTTAGCTAAAACTTGTTTTTGCTGAGAAAGGAGAAAGCGATATGTTCTGAGAGGTGACTCTCCTGAAATACAAAGTGTGAGTTGGGGGAGTCAGCTTCTAGGGCTTTTTTCCTTTGCTTTTATGTAGCTTCTAAAATATACTACTATGATCAGGGAAAAAAAAGGGAAAAATTAAAGAAATGAGGCCATCTCAGAGAAGAGCTCACGGAAATGAGTAGTAACCCAGCTGTGTGGAAATGTTAGTTTTGCTCTGTTTTCTTTCATCCAGACAATTTTGCCAGAAAGTGGAAAAATAGAAAAGAAACCCAAACAGTCACTTTTTGCTAAAAATAAGTTCCCACCAGGTCCAAGCAGGGAAAGAAGCTGGAAGAGTTGGGGCAGTTGCTGAAGTGAAAGAGGCTCATTGAGTGGCCCATGACCAGCCCTGGAATTGCTTAGAGCTGTCTTGACCCTCACCTCAAGGAGCTGGGATGCGGGTGCAGAGGCCGCTAAGGACTGAGAAGTCCGCGGCAAAGCACAGGTGACTGGTTGCAGGATGATAGTCACGGGAGCCTGCCCCATTCACCCTTTGTGGTGGCAGGATGCCTAGCACTCTTCCTGTGCCGTCTGTCGCTAGTGGTGCTTGAGAGGTGTGGGAAAGCAGCTATCACTACCAGAGACGAGGTCAGAGTCAGTCCTGGTCTGAAAATGGCATCTGAGATTGGATGTGTTGAATCCCATTGTTAATTTATTATAACAATTCTTAAACTTGTTCACATTTTTCCACACCTTTCTTCACGAAGCCTTTTTTTTTCCTTTTTGTTGGTTTTTTGAAACGGGTTTTTTTCTGTGTAACAGCCCTGGTTGTCTTGGAACTCTCTTTGTAGACGAGGGTGGCCTCAAACTCCCAGGAGATTGATCCTCCTGCCTCTGCCTCCGTGATTAAAGGCATGTACCACCATGCCATTAGTCTTCACTCATTCTTGATGTGGAAGAAGAATTAGACCTCTTCTCTGCCCTCCGGAGAAACAACATTTTCCCTTCCCTTTAAGAAACGGATAGAATGCATTTCTTACAGTAGAACCAGGGAAAACCATGTGGAAATCATTGTATTCTCTAAAATACACAAAGCACAGAGACAGGCAAGCCTCTTGGCATATGTAGCTTCAATTCCTTTCTTTTTAGTTGTGATGATCCAGAAGTGGAGGATTATGGGAACAAGTGGAGCATGAGTGCCATGCTTAGGTACCTGAAACAAGAAGGCAAGGATACAACTGGTAAGTATCATACCTTTTCCTTTTAGACTGTACTGAAATATATATCTTTATTTTGTGCGGTGTGTGTGAGTGTGCACGGGCACCTGTAGAGGCCATAATTACGCATCAGATCCCCTAGAGCTGAAGATACAGGAGGTTGTGAGCTGTCCTTCATGGGTGCTGGGAACCAAATGCAGGTTCTCTGCAAGAGCAGTCAGTGCTCTACACTGCCAGGCCATCTCTCCAGTCCCTTGACTCTGTTTCTTTGTAAGATTTTACTATTGTGTCTCGCAGGACGATGTTGCTGAGAAGCCAGTGGGTGACTGTTGTTGTTTTTCCCATAGTTCGCAGTGGAGAAGAAGCTTCCACAGCCCTCCCCAGATCCCTCTTCTTGTTTCTAGTTTGGGAAACCTCGCTTCTTTCTTTAGTCCTCAGTTTATCTTTCTTGAACACTGTACTGCTAAGACACTGTGGTGTTTCGCATGCCTCATTGCCTATCTCTATGTTGGCTATGAGTTTAAATTTTTCTAAGTTGCTGGGTGGTGGTGGCACATGCCTTTAATCCCAGAACTCAGAAGGCAGATGCAGGTGGATCTCTTGACAGTCTGAGGTCAGCCTGGTCTACAGAGTGAGTTCCAGGACAGCCTGGGCTGTAACACAGAGAAACCCTGCCTCAAAAAACAAAACAAGCAAAAAAAAAAAACAAAAACTTTTTTCCCCTAAATTGAACTCTCTCATTCTTGTTGCTGACCTGGAGAACGGACAGGGCAGATTTTAAGTATGGGGCTTGGAGTTAAAAAGAACACGTTCTGAGCCTTGAGCAGAATGGGAAACAGTGTGCAAAATAGACTTTTTTTGTGTGCACAGGGAAAGGGTGACAGAACAAGAGGAAGAGAAGGCTCCTTCTGCAGCCTGTACCTCCATCACAGTCCATCTGCACCCGTGTCCATTCACTTACTCATGGCATGCCAGCCCTGTAGCACCCGTTCTGAAGACGGCCATTTAGATGCTTTCTTGAATAAGCATACATGCTGTTACAGTCGTATGGTGCCCTGGAATCTGCTCCTCCTAATGCATGTGTTGTAGTGTTTCTGTTTTCATTACAAAAGATTGTTTTTGCAGCATTGATGGCCCATGTGGAAGACCTGATCATTAAGACAATAATCTCTGCTGAACTAGCTATCGCCACAGCCTGTAAAACCTTTGTTCCGCACCGCAGTAGTTGTTTTGGTAAGGAGCCGCCAGGCACTTGTGTTTTGTGAGGAGGGTCTTGGGATTCTCAGATTGTGGGACCTAGTGATTTTGTAGGAGTCGGCACATCCTAGGTTTGTGTTCTTAAGTGCATAGAGTAGATGCACGTCCTACCAAATGGACAGTGGTGAGTTTCCATTGGAATCTCTGGAGGGGTAACTCGCTTTCTGTGTGGGGAGTGGGGATTGGTGCTAAAGTGTGAGTCTTTCTGTCAGAGTACACTCAGAAAAAGTCTGCACAGGAATCTAGCTTTAACAAATATATTCCAGAGCTCTCTGGCAGCCAGACTGGGAACAGATCCAAGAGGCTCTGGCTGGTACCAGTGTGTGCTTTCTCCCATTTTCCGACGACTCCTCCTTTTTGTTTTATTCTTCTTCCTAGTGGATTCTTCCCCCATCTCCTCCTCTTTCTCCTCCTAGTTTTCCTCATCTCTTCCCCTCCCCTTCTGTTTCACTCTATCTTTTCACTTGTATAGAGATAGCAGTTCACAACCTGGATCAGGAAACCTCTGACCTCCTGACCCACTAGCTGTGTCTGACACACCAAGTTTGCCTGTGCGCATCTGCTTTCTCCATGGATAGGAACTTAGTATTAATGGCCAGAATGAAAGCCCATAAGGCAAGGTAGGCTTTGTTGGACTTTGGTAATAAAACACACAGGGTTAGTGATACAGTGATGCTAGTTAAAGTGTGATATGGAGTGATACACACAGTATGGACAGAGATGGCATGGCTTTTGTAGGGGCCTGGAGAGCAGGAAAATAAAGAACACGGTTCGTAGAGTCTGTGCAGCCTGAATTCGAGACCCATTTGCATCTGTTTCTGGTTGGGTGATTTTCAGCAAGTTATCCTAATTCTCATTTTCTAGAGTATAAGCGACAACCATGATGGTATCTCTCTCCTAAGAGTACCGTAAAAATCCAGTGAGGCAATGCCAGCAAAGGAAGCACTTGGCACGATGCCTGGCCTTTAAGCTGCACTTAGTAAAATTACTTTTGTTAATTTTGTAATTAGACACTAATTCTCGATCTGTTTAATGGATTATAATGGTATGTATGTATTTGACTGATACTCAAGTAGGGGAACTGTTGAGACTGAATGGAAGATGCAGATAAGTAAGGGTCTAGAACTGTAGAGTAAAAGACTGCAGTGTCTTAAACATGGACCTTTTGGAGGGGAGGTGCCCAGTGTCCACAGGTTCTGTGTCTAGCTGGAGGACCCTCCTGTCTGCCTTGCGTTCTCTCATTCCGTTATGACTCACTCCACAGTGCTTCTTTTCTGAAGCCTTGCTGAGCACAGGGTCTTGTTGTGTCATTCCCTCGAGCCATTCTAGGCTTGCTTTATGATACTTTTCCTATCATATGCAAAGATGCTTTCCCAGAAGTCTCTGAGTTTATCTGCTTGAATTCTTAAGCCATTGCATCTACCTTCCCATCTCATCTTGTTATGTCAAGTCAGAGTTCTGGGACCTTTTCTAACTCTGTGTTAATTTACCTTGCGGCTGAACTACCTCCACTTTTCTCGTATTACCTTACCTGTAGGTCACCAACATCCTTCCAGGCAAAGCTAAGCATCATTTCATTGGTGATCTTTTTTTTCTAACTCTCCTAGCAGATGTTAGATTCCCACATGTAGCTCCAGCCCTGTTTCATGTGTCTGCAGTGTGTCCTGCATGTCTTCTGGTATCACTTATGTGTGTGTCTCCTAATGGAGTGGAAGTTCCTTGATGATGGCTGTCATAGTATCACCATTGGCTTGTCCCTCTCATTCACAGCAGCATCTTGTGCTCATGGAGAATGTTGGGAAGTGTTTGTTGAGTGAATGCTTGGTGCTTGTTTTCAATTCCTTCTTGGTGGCCTGGCAGTAAGCTTTCCAGTGGATCTGATTTGGTAAGGCTTGTGACTCTTAGAATTGTAGCTTGTTTGAAGATGGAGGTGGGGGCTAACAGAGTGTGACTCCAACTGTTGAAACCTTTCAAGATTAAATGTTTCCTTTCTACTTCTACTTGCCTATGTTGGTAAATTTCTCATGACCATTGATATATTAAAAAACAAAGCAAAACAAAACAACCCTTTGTTCTGAGTAGCTAACCCTGAAGGCTTCTCTGGGTGTTTCTTTTTCTGTCTTGCATTGTAACCTGATTGCTTCTTGGAAACTTAGAAATGGATTTACAGAACTCTGTGAAAGAAGGGCAGCAACTCTCTCTGACTCAGAGAAACATCCCAAGGTCCATCAGCCAGGGTCTCCTCTCCCCTTTCCTGTCCTGGTCCAGCTCCAATAAACTCAAGGCATCTGGAGTTTTTTAAGTTGTTGACTGTCTCCTTGGCTTTTGTGGTTCTAATTCCACTTCCTGTCAGCCCTGGGATTCTCTGTGCTTCATTAACCCCCTCGTGAGATAGGATTTTGTATATTTATATATATTTGTGTGCTCTCTTTGCCTCCCTCTGATTCTTAGTCTCCCCTGGTAAGGAGTCACTTTGTATGTGGCAGGATAACCAGGACTTGAGAGCTTCACAGAAACTTTGGTTTAAGCAGAACATTCCTACTTTTAGGGAGACAGAATGTAGAGACGGGGTTCCCTATATTCTTTTGGTAGTAATTTCTGGCCTTCCACTTACAGACCAATGCCAGAGCATTCTGTCACGGGGCTTCTGTCCTGTGAGTTCTCCTCCCCTCTTGCCACCTGTACTGTTTCCAGCTACCTTGAGCATTCCCAGTCTGGGCTTTGTTTGCACATGTAACTGTGCTGGGCAGAGAGTAATGTTGCAGCAGTGCATTACTGCCAACAGTTTGTCCTTCTCAGACTCAGTTTGCCCTTGGGTGCTGCTGAATTCACATGTCTTCATTGTGTTACTGCCACCTACATATCAGCCGTAACAGGCAGTCTGAAAATTAGCCATTAATGCTATTTTATAAACTTGTACATCCAGAAGGACCTTAGTGAATTATTTGTCAGGATGTAGAAACAAAGATCCTGAGCGATTAGCCCTTGTCTCAGATTCTAGAGCTAGTGAGTAAAAGAACTTGAATGAGAGAGACTCAGCCTGAAGAACAGGGGCCTCAGAGGATGAGTCCTGGCAACCTGCCATCTTGATCATAGGACTTCAATTATATGATTTTTGGATGCCTCCCCCAATAAAACATGTTTCTAACAGTCTAATTTTACTGCCTTCCATGATTGTGAAAATGTGGTACAATGTGAACTAATATGCTTCAGTGGCAACTCTTTAAATATGCCGAGGAAATTGGCACTGTGAAGTTACTGACTATGAGAACAACTTTTTTTTTTTGGCCATTTAAAGAAAAACAGCCAAAACCAACAGGATGTTAGCTGTCTTTCAAAGATGTTGCTGCTGACAGTGGTTTAGTGTTTGTGAGGATGGCTGAAATGATGGGCTCTGATCCTGATCCTCTAGTGTGGGACCATGCAGACCAGACACTGATGAACTGACTAGCTTAGTCTTGTTTTCATCAGAGACCTGTGGCATGTTTGCTGAAAACCAAGGGTTCCAGATACCTCCCTCAAGTGAAATGTGCTTTATTTTTCTGTTACCTCTGCTCTTGACCATTTTTCAGTGTAAGGCCATGTTCTTTAGATGGAAGGTGTCAGGGGGATGCAAGAAGGTAGCACACTTTCTCTATCATGCAGACCTCTCCACCACCAGTAAAGGAATGCAAGGCAGGGGCAGTTTTCAAGGCAGGACCCTCTGGGTTCGTACCTCACTCCAGTTTAGGCAGGAGGGCTGTTTTCTGTAGAAGGGACATAGGCACTGAGAGACTGCTGTTTGTCTCCAGCAATGTTGTTGGCACTCACTACCAAACATGTATCGTAAACCCTTGGTTTATGACAAGGGGAAAGAGTCAGAAAGCTTAAGTAAGTTGTCTTGGGTCATGTGGCTAATAAATGGCAAGGCCAAGTTTGAGGCCAGATATCTGGCCATTTCTCCACCCACATCAAGACAACTCTGATGGGTCCACTCCTTTTGGCATGCCTCACATCCTGGATTCTCCTGTGCTGTCCTGTAACTAGATCTCAGGAACAATGACATCATCTTTTCTAGCAGATCAGACTTGGAAAAGAGCACAGTGCCCAGTCCTCGATACTCGTTTTAGACCTACCACTCCAGGCAGTAGCTGGATACCGTAATGATTTTGAGAGTGAGTTACCAAGTTAGCACTGGGCTTCTTCTCTCACTCAGTTCATTTTCCTGTGTGATCTTGCTCTGTTTTTTCTAGAATTCTCTTCTGGACCCATTGTAAAGACTTTGATTTTGTTTTTAGACTCGCATTCTAAGCTGAGGTGAAAGCATCCCCGGTACAGAGAGGATCTCAGTGACAGTGGGCTCTCGCCAGTGCCAGCACTCGCCATTGCCCGGGGACTAAAGCTTCAGCCGGGCGCTTATGGGGAGGCTGACTACATTGGCTTCAAAATGAGTGTTGTGGTGTATTTAGTCATCTCCCAGGTCTCCATGGTACCATTTTTTTCTACCTATTTCCCCCTTCCCCTTCTTCAAAAGCCATCTTTTATCAGATTTTTTTCCTTAATGTATGTTTAATAAATTTTCCTTAACAAGAATTTCTGTTTATTTTTGGCAGGTGGTTCTTCTGTTACTGCTCTGCCAGCTCTTCTCTTTGCAGTACACTAAATAAACTCATTTTCTTTTTTAAAAAAATGAATTCTTGTTATTTTTATATTGACTGGCTGCTTTCTTATGACTATGTAGGTAGGCCAGGAGAGATCAGCTATTTATTGACTTTGACTTATACATAATTTTCTTTTTCTACCCACAATGTCTCTTAATTATTGTGTGTGTGTGTGTGTGTGTGTGTGTGTGTGTGTGTGTCTCCATCTGTTGGTATGTTCTTGCATGTGTACAAGTATGCAAGCCAGTTGTCAATGTCTGGTGTTTTCCTTAGTCACTGCCCATTTTGCCTTTTATTTTATTACTATTATTTTTTGAACAAGGCCTCTCACTGAACCTGGAGTTTACTGCTTCAGCTAGCCAGCAAGCCCCAGAGGTCTGTCAACCTCTAACTCCCCAGTATAGGGCTCATAGGCTCACACTGTCTAACCATCTTTTTACATGTGTCTTGGGGATCTGAACTGAAGCTCTTGGAAAGCATTCAATTAATTGAACCCTCTCCCTTGCCCTTTGTTTCTTAATACTTTTCTTAAATGGTTTACTAATGGAACAGATTGCTTCTGCCTTTAAGTTTTTGTTGCTGTGATAAAACACCATGACCAAAAGCAGCTTGGGGAGGAAAGGGTTTATTTAGCTCACACTTCCACATCATAGTCCATTATTGAGGGAAGTCAGGACAGGAACTCAAAGCAGGAACTGATGCAGAAGCCTCAGAGGAGCACTGCTTACCATCTTGCTCCTCATGCCCTGCTCAGCCTGCACTCTTAAACAATCCAAGACCAAATGCCTGGGGTGACACTAACACCCCCCTCTCATCAATCATCAATCAAGAAAATGCACTAAAGGTTTGCCTACAGACAAATCTTTTGGGGGACATTTTCTAAATTGAGATTCCCTCTTCTAAAATGACTTTAGTTTTTGACAAGTTGACAAACAATCTAGCACTCTTGATCTAAAATGATAAATGAGATGTGGCACTTGCCCTCCAGAGAGGGAGAGACACATATGAAGTGATAAAAGACAGTTTACATAGGAGAGTGACTATAATACTCTTGGAATATGCAAGTGTTACCACCAGTTTGCCTAGGAGAGCCAGGAAAATAGCCCTCACAGAGGGGCTATGATGTGCAAACTATAGAATGTCAGAACAGGAGTTGACCCTTTTTCCTCTCCTAGACAGCATCTCCTAGACAGAGGCTGACTTTTTAACCTCCCTTCTCATTGACAGCTAGGACAATGGCTCAGGAAGAAAGAGGTACATGAGATATTATACAGTTACCATGTGACCAGGTATTTCCACTTGTAGGTAATTATTCAGGAGAAATGAAACTTTATGTCCACATAATTCCTACTCACAAATGTTGATATTTTATTCATAATGGCCCAACATTGGAGACAACCAAAATACCTGTCAGCTGTTAAATGGATAAAATGTGGTATGTCCATATTATGGAATACTACTTTGGAATTAAAAGGCATGAACTACACTTTTGATACATGTAACAGAATAGGTAAGTTTCAAGAGACAATACCACATGGAAGAAAGAACTCTGAATAGACCACAGACTGTACATATTTCATTTTTTACTTTCTGGGAAAAGGAAAGGAAATAGAAAGACTCCCATTGGTGGTTGTTGGAAGGTGAGGCTGGTGAGGATTGACTTCAAAGAGGCACAAGGTGCATGTGTGATGTCTTTTCTGTATTCTGATTGAGGTGTGGTTTAAACTTTTCAAGATTCATCAAATTGTTCAAGTTAAAGGGGTGAATTTTTTTTTACAAATAAGTTGTATCTCGGGATCTCTGCCTTAAAGAGAATTACTGGTAGATGTACCTCAAAAACATAGCAAATATAATACAAGAAGCTAGAATCAAATGAGTATATATGATTTCATTTATATGAAATTCTAGAACAGAATTGATGGTAGAAAGAATTAAGAGTAATGGTTGTCAAGGATGAGGCAGGAGAAAGTTATGTACCAGAAAGAGGCTTGAGGGGGTCCTCAGGGGCGATGGAAGTGTTCTAAGTGTCCCTTGATAGGAGTGAGGGTTACATAGATGTAACCAATTCCAAGATTCATCAACTGTATCTTTAAGATTTATCTGTCTCATCATGTGTAAATTATTCCTCATAAGAGAGTAGAAATGATTGGCTAACTTAAAGAGAAAGATAGAGGACATCATCAGTATTTTTGTTGAGCTGATCAAGAATTTGATTGGAAATACATGCTATCTTTTCACCCCCCCCCCGCCCCCTACCACTGAGCCCAGCCTTATTAAGGGGAGTTGTACCTGGCACTCTGCTGCCATGCCTTCACATAGCGATATGCATTTCTATCTCCACTCTCACAGGCTCGTAGGTTCAAGTCTGGTCTAAGTGTAGTTAGATTGAGGCTTGGTTAACCCTAGAGCTTGGCATGCTCTGTAGGTATTGTTATTCCAGCAGCTTTTACCATGGGAGTAAGTTAATTTAGTGCTGTGAAAGTAGTTTCTCACTTTAAGGTTTGTTTTTCTTTTCCCAGAATATTTTTTCAGACTTTCACCTTAATGTGAGCTCTTGGAATTTGCCTCTGATTCGGTGAAATGATTAAGTGTGATTGCTGAATGTTAAAATAGTGGCTCTCATTGATGGTTGATCCGCCTCACATTGGGCTTCCTTTGCTGGTTCTTTCTACAAATCGTATCAGTATATGCATCAGTCCTTATTATCAACGTGTTAGCAAATAGTTGAATCCTTGCTTCTGCTCTTAAAAACTAAAGGGAATATTTTCTTGTATGAGATACCGTGTCTTGCTTATGTAATGCTACAGCAAGTCTATATTATACATTATTTCCCTCCCTCCCTCCCTCCCTCCCTTCCTCGTTTCTTCCCTCCTATTTACTTTCTCTCTCTTTCCCCCTGCCTCCCCCTCTCCTTCTTCCCCTCCCTTCCCCCTTCCTTCCTTTATTTTATCTTGATGTGCAACCCAAAGTTGCATTCAATTCACAGTCCTCCTGTCTCAGCCTCCCAAATGCTGTGATTGCAGATGTATGCCAACATACCTGCTAAGCTTTTTCCTTTTAAAATGTCTTATTTATAGCTTCATGACAAAATCTTATTCTCTGACTAAAGTGAGAATTAGATTATTGTTGTGACTAAAGACTAGGCAAGCTATTGGGAAGACTGCAATGTCTGTAAAGTATGAATTTGCTAGCAAAGGTGCATCTGGAGGAGCTTCCTTTTCCTTACATCTTAAAGTAAGATTTATATAGTATGATGCACCAAACCTTTATTATATTTTTAGATTTGCAAATTAAATGGAGTCCTATATAACTAGTTACTATGGAATGTATGATGCTCCAAACCCTTATTATTTTTTAGTTTTGCAAATTAAATGGAGTCCTATATAAATAGTTACTATGGAATCAAACATATTCATGAAAACCCTAGAATATCCAGATCTAGCTGAGTGTGGAAGTGTATGCCTGTAATCTCAGCACCTGGGAGCTGAAGCAGGAGTTTACATAACAAAACCTGTTTCAAGCAAGCAAACAAACAAAAAATGCCTATTTGATATTTACAGCAAAATAGGCTAAAGCCTGTGTGAATATCCAGTTACTTGGTGACTGTTCAAAAGAGAAAGGGAGCCTGAAGGATGTGTCTTAGACTGAAGTGCCATCCCCAAGCCAAAGTATGAGTCTTTAGAGCCTGCCCTAGGTTTCTTGGTGTTGCCTTAATATAGCTTTATATTTTTGTATTCTATGCTGTATGTTTCTAGTTTTTCAAAACATTCAGGAGTGAAAAAGAATCCTTCTTGAACCAGATAAATTTATGTCTATGAATTTCTAGAAATCCTGCTTGTTTTCTTTGTGAGTGAGCTCTGCAATAGCAGGTTTTTCTCTTGGAGAAGAGATGCAAGTGATGATTTGTTTGAGTGACACTGTGTAAGATAGCACGGAGTGGGGCTTGTGAATGTCTGTGTTTAAAATATGTTCAAGAGTTGTTGTTCCTGTTGTGCGGATCTCACCAATAATGCTTGAAGGGCTCCAAGTTAGTCTCACATCCCTGAATTCTTAAGTAAAAGCAGGATTCTAGGAGAAGAGGTGCCTGGTGGGTGTTACCTTGCTTCTTATCATAGAGGAAGAGAATCCATGGCAACTTGGTCTTTGAATAATATTAGTGGTACAAGACAGCTTGTCAGAGCCTACCACCCGCCTGTCTCTTCTCTGTCAATCTAAATGTTTTACTTTCTCTATTCAGAAAGAAACTGAAACTATAGGAGAGGGGAAAGAATAAGTGCCATTTACATTTGGATGTCTTCTGAGCAGGACCGCAGAAGCACCATCTGAAAATTAAGATGGGTGAAGGAGCTGTGCTTGTTGTGGGCACTTGAATTCTCAGAGGGGGAATGGGGAGGTGGGGCAGGAGGCCAGCACACAGCAAACCCAGCGTGGCATCCCTAGCAGGTGGTCCTGTGTGGGATCGTGTGTGCTTTCTCACTGTATGGAGCTCAGGAACAGGAATAGTGTGTTGGAATACTTAAGTGTTCCTTGTAGCTATCCTTGAACTTGAGGAGACTAGCTTTTCTTGAACTCGAGGGTCTCTGCTTACTGCTTACACTCAGTAAGGTTCTAGGCATCTGATGGGAGTTGAATGCCTTCATGTGATCATTGCATGGAAAGTGATCTTGCATGTTATGTTGTATTTTCAGAACTGTATGGCTTTGATGTGCTCATAGATAATACTCTGAAACCATGGTTGTTGGAAGTGAATCTCTCCCCTTCTTTGGCCTGGTAAGTCAGTTCTGTCAGCGAAAAACAAGACAAGCCTGCACATGACACTAAAATGTGTTTTTTAGGGGAAGGGATATTATTTCTGTTGTGGTACACAGTGATGGTTAGACTTTTAAAAATGAAGTGGTTTATGGTTTGTTATCAAACCCCTGTGGGAATCAGTTTCCCTGCCAGTTTGTAGTACTTGTTTGCCATTTATTTAGCTTTTTAACATTTTTTTTACATGCTAAGATAAGACCGTGCCTATTATTTCATCTTATTTGCATTACTAAACTACTTGAAACACGAATAACAAGTTACTTCATTACATTGGAAAGAGCAATAGTCTTGAGAAAATATGCTGACAGATATCCCAAACTACAAACAGTATGAGCAAAATGCACTACTCATTAGAGAACATGAATATGAAAATAATATCAGCTTAATTTCTTCATTATCCCCTGTGTGCTAATAGCTTCTCAGAATTTTAGTCCTCTGATCTGATAACAGCCTGAGCAGACCTAAATTAAAAAACAAAAACAAAAGCATCTACTTCTTCATCTAAACCATGTTCCTGAAGAAATTATTGTTGGGGAAGATGTAGACTTTACAACTGAAATCATGACTACCTCCTCAACAGAACATTTTGCTGTAGTCAGATTCTGTAGTTTCAGATTTATCCTTTTTTGGTGCCCCCCACTATCTTTGTAGGCCCTCTGTTAACACCACAGAAATACCCTCAGGTGGTGTGCTGCCTTTGCTCCCCCAGGAGTCTGCATGCACTATAGCCGTGTAAAGCCGTGCCAAGGCTCTACAGAGTGGGCTTTTTGCTCAGTTCTGTGGCCTGGTGTCCACCCAAGGTTACCGTCGAAAGCATTTGACTATCTTAGATTTACAAAAATAAAATAAAACCTGTTATTTAGAAAGGAAGAAGTATCTTTTTCAGTACCAAGAAGACCCTGCTTACTTCTGCAGCGACAGAATTTCTACTAGCTATGTGCTTTTCTAAACAGAAAACCCTAGAGGTCTCTGCCAGAGACCACCCAGCTGCTGAGCTTTTAAGGATGAGAGATTGGCAGAGTGCCAAGTCATCAACTAAAGACATGTTGACTACTTGGTTGAGTGGGGATTTGGCTCAACTCAGGTGTGAGGTGTACAGCCGGGCAGTGCCTTCAGTTGTTAACGCTGCACTTTGTCAAATCAACCCTTTATACATTTCCCAGTGAAGTAGAGTCGCCGATGTCACACATCCCAGAGGAACACAGAGGGGATCCTGGAGGAGCAATGAAGCTCCAGAGTACCTCTCGCTACAGGAAGGCCTCTTGGTTTTGCTCCATCCTGTTTTAGTGTTCTCGTGGGCTCCTGCTTCCTCTGATGGTGGATGTTGCAGGACTTAACTTGTATCTTTTTGCACTATTTACAAGTCTGCAAGCCTAAGGAGAATGAGTTAGCACAGAAAATGAAGGCTTCCAAAAGGTCCCAAGGTGGCCAAAAGGTCTTGTCTTGCATGTGAATGTTAAGTGAATGAGGAAGCACTAAGACACAATTTGAATGAAGGGCACTCATAAAAGTATGAGTGTACTGATATTCGGAGCCTCTGAACCCCATAGTGATAATGAAGCAACATCCCTGGCTTGCTTAAAACTTGAATTGCACAAGATCTGGAGTAAAAGATCCTATGTCAGGAAATCAATGCGTTGGTGTTGGGCCTGCCTTACAGGGGATGAGTTTAGCACAAGGCTTGTATTCTGTTATTTTCCACCCAAATTCCTGTCCCCTCACTTGTGGATTTGATGTGTTATGTGTGCTGCTTCTCTGATACTTGGAAACTTTGCTGTACTGGGACCCATGACGAGGCAGCTCTTTGGTTAACCTACAGAGTGATCAATTGCTCCTTTCTTTCTCTGTTCTTTTAGTGATGCACCCCTGGACCTCAAGATTAAAGCCAGTATGATCTCAGATATGTTCACTGTTGTAGGTAAGTAGCAGTGTGCTCTGAACTGGACTCACAAAGAATTAACCAGACCTTCCATTTGCCAGGCTCTGTAGGTATTGCCAACTGGCAGTTCCTAAGCTATGCTGAATGTTTTGTACTAAAAAATTATATTTTCAGGGAAGTGTTTATATGTTTCTACTCCCCCTGGCTCCATCCTGTCCCGGGGCTGAACCACAACTAAGGCTGAGACCTGGGGCCTGGGAATTATGAGCTGAGGCAAAGAATTAAGCAAAGATCCGCAGAGAGTATATTTTTCTCCGAGCTGGGAAAGTGAAACCCACTGAAGAAGCCCTATTACAAAGGAGATCAGCTGTATTTCTCCTAGACAGTCTCTGTATTTCTCTTAGACAGTCTCTCATGGCTTCAGCATGATCCCTTCTGCAGTATTATAGCCAAAGCAGCCTGAGAAAGAAATCCCATTTAAGTAGATAAGCCAGATCTTTGAAATGGAGATGGGCAGTCAGGTGGGTATGATGTGGATTTATTATTGGGTTTTAAAATTTCTCGAAAAAGACACAATGAAATCCATTTGATGTAGTACTTGTACCAACAGATGCTATAAAACTTAGTGATTCCCTTCTTTCCTTCCTTCCTTCCTTCCTTCCTTCCTTCCTTCCTTCCTTCCTTCCTTCCTTCCTTCATCATAGTTTCCCCCTCCTCTCCTCCCAGTCCCTCCCTACCACCTCCCCTCTGCAACACCCTCCCCCCAATCCACTCTTCTCTGTTTCTGTTCAGAAAAGGGCAGGTCTCTCATGGACAGCAACGAAGATGACATATCAAATTGCAGTAAGACTAAGCACCTTCCTTTGTATTAAGTCTGGTCAGGGCAACCTGTATGAGGAATAGGGTCCCACAAAGAGTCAGAGACAGCCCCTGCTCCCACTGTTAGCAGTCCCACAAGAAGATCAAGCTGCATACCTGTCCCATAACTGTCCCTGCAGAGGGCCTAGGTCAGTCCCTTACAGGCTCCCTGGGTGTTAGTTCAGACACTGTGAGCTTCTACGAGCACAGTTAATTGATTATGTGGGTTTTTCTCGTGATGTCCCTGACCCCTCTGGCTCCTATAAACCTTCCTCCCTCTTTCAGCAGGATTCCCTGAGCTCTGGCTAATGTTTGGCTGTGGGTCTCTGCATCTGTTTCTATCAGTTGCTGGATGAAGTCTCTCTGATGACAGTTGGGCTGGACACCAATCTATGAGTATAGCAGAATATCATTAGGCATCATTATACTGACATTATTTTTCCTCCAGTGGTGTTAGGCTCTATCCTAGATCTCTGCATTATTCAGCCTCTGGGTCCTAGTGTTCCAGGCAGTGTCAAGGGTGGGCTTACTCTCGTGGCACGGGTCTCAGGCTGGACCAGTCATTAGTTGGTTACCCTTACCCTCCACTACAAGTCTTGCCTGGTCACAGGAGATGGCGAGTTCAGGCTATGTATCCATTTTGCTAGGAGTCTTAGCTGGAGTCATCCTTGTAGATTCCTGGGAGTTTCCCTTGCACTGGTTTTCTGGTGCTCCCTACCCCCTCCCCACTTTCCAGTCATCTCTTTCAGTGCTCCCCAACCCCCTTCACCTAATCCCTCATGTTCCCATCCCCACACACCCATAATCCACCCACAAAATCTCTTTTTCTCCTTCCTAGAGAGATCCTAGTATCCCCCTTTGAGCCTTCTTGTTACCTAACCTCTCTGGGCCTGTGGATTACCGAGTTCTCCTTTTTGGTTGAGAGCCTAGTTCTTTTAGAAAAGAAGTGAAACTAGTAGAAATTCTGTTTCTTTTTTTTTATTAGAAAAATTATGGAGAAAAAAAATCTTCCTATTTTTACAGGGATGCATACAATTTACCAATATTATAAAAACCATATAATCTATGATTTAGGCCAAAATCCCTGTTTTCCTTCTTGAGAATCATGACCTAGGATAATTACTTTACAGTTGAGTATTAAAATAATTAATTAGAGCTAGGCAGTGGTGGTGCACACCTTCAACCCTAGTACTCAGGAGGCAGAGGCAGGGGAATCTCTGAGCTCAAGGTTTGCCAGGTCTACAGAGTGAGTTCCTGGACAGCTACAAGGCTACACAGAGAAACCCCATTTTGAAAAACCAAAAATAATAACTATAATAATAAAATAATAAGACTATCAGTGCAAAAATGCTAATTATATATTCCTTTTCTAGAAAAACAGTTATAACAAAACATTTTGTTTTTGTTTTTTGAGACAGGGTTTCTCTGTGTAGCTTTGGAGCCTATCCTGGGATTCAACTCTGTAGACTAGGCTGGCCTTGACCTCACATAGATCCACCTTCCTCTGCCTCCCAAGGGCATGGGATCAGAGGCATGTGCCACCACCACCTGGCAACAAAGCATGTTTTTAAGCTGTAGATAATCACAAAGCCCACTGCAGAAATTAGAAGTAGGCCATCTTCTGTCTTCCCAGTAGGTTATAACAGGATATGATAATACTGTTGCTATTGAATTCTTCTAGTAAAAACTTTTTTCCCCTAGCTGTCATCCAGAAAGTTATGTTAAAAAAACCAACAGTCTTTTCCTTTATGAACAAGTATGTGTTTCATAAAGATGACTTGTCCATTTGTTTGAGACTTAACCAAAGCCAGGTCTCTGTCTTGGGATTCTAGTCAGCTCCTGAGTCTGCTTCCCTTATTATCATGAGTTTAAAGGTACTTGAACCAAGTCAAACAGGCTGACTTCTGAGAAAAGGGCATCTCCTATTATTGCTCATTCCTCACCCAGGGTTTGTGTGCCAAGATCCTTCCCAGCGCTCATCCAACCGGTCAATTTATCCCACCTTTGAGTCTTCCAGACGGAACCCTTTTCAGAAACCTCAGGTAAGCAAATGGAGGCGCATGAAGCCCAGAGAAGGCTTGCTGGGGCGTGGCCGTGAGGAAGTGAGGAAGCTGAAGTACTGTGGTTGGGAGGGCACTTAGGGCAGGAGAATCTCGATACGTTCATCAGTGGCTGGTCTGTGAGGCTTTCCAACACACTTCCTCCTTGATTTTCTTCTGCCTTCCTTCTCTCTTCCAAACTCACTGTTCCTCCCCTCAGATGGACATGCTCATCAACAGAGCAGAGTGGGGCCTGCCACTTCTTCAGCATGACTAGACCTTTTCTAATCTTCAGACGAGTTTTGTAAAGACGCTCCATTGAAACAGTGTGTCCTCGATCCTCTTGGACTGGACCTTCAGTGGTCTCTGTGCACTCTGGGTTTGGGTCTGCTCGTTCAGTGGTGTCATCAGTCTGCAAGCTTGAGCACCACCACTTAGTGTTTCTTCTTACGTGAAGCTCTGCCAGTCTCCTCTCTGCCCATCCCGTTTGATTCCCTGGCCTGCTCAAGCTTTGGAGTTTTTATAATCCAGCCTATCTCTGAGGACCTCTAGTGTCCTTAAAGATAGGATAAGGACACCACAATTTCCTTCTTTTTCATTGCATTCTTTTGCGTTCATTGATTGTGGGTTTTAAATTGTCCTGTGCTTCTCCCTACACTGTAAGTACTATTAATAGCTTCTCCTTCTCTCCCTCTCCCTTTCTCATCTGCCCCTCCTCTCCTTTTCATTACTCGTTTCCTCCACGTCCTCCCTCCATTCCTCCCCCTCCATCTGCTCATGGATCTCACTGAGAGTGGTGCTGTGCCAGAAACCCTCACACTGACAGGCTTTTCACAGTCACATACTTCTCAGGCCTGCAGGCCGGTAACATGAGGGACAGTAGGCAGCCTCAGCACAGTGATATGCCGGCTAACTGAGGATGGAGGCCTCCCATCAGGGGTAGCAGACTGAGGAGTGTGCTCTAGATGATCGCTTCCATGCCCCAGCGTGAGCCTCTTGTCAAGAGAAATCAGAAATGATTTTTGTGTTGTTGTTGTTTTGTTTGTTTGTTTTTAATGTGGACAATTTGCTTGTTCAAAACAAAACTAAAAAAGCACTACAAGCCAAAACGAGCATGTCTTTGAGCTGGAGTGGGTCCCTGGCTGCCCTGCTGTCAGCCCTGCTCTGGGTTGATGCCCTGGGTGGTGGTGTGTTGTGGAACATGGTGTGCCGTCTTGAAAGAGGTATTGTCTCAGCTTAGAAATACAACTAGACATCGGTGTCATACTTGCTCAAGAGCACCATCACAGATCAAAGGGATTTCTGTCATTTTAGTAAGAAAGGTTGAGAATTATTAACTTAGGTATAGTGGGGAATCTTTGGCAGTTGCATTCCTGTGCTAATTGTTCTCTGCAAGCATCCTATGACCGAGCTGCACACTTAGAGCTGTGAATGTTTCTCACAGTTTTGATATGATTTCTGACAGGCTTTTCTTCTAGGGGTAGCAGTATTCTAATCCTGAAAGAGTGGACTCTGTTTCTTAGCTTGCCTGTTTCATTGGCAATTCTGTGCCAATCATCAGAAAAGTACCCACCATTTGTTCTGCTTACTGAGGGGCAGTGGCATGATGTCATCCATAAGCAGCCTTGGGGATAGATGCAGAAAGACCTACAGTGGAGCTCTGTGCACTGTATGAAGCAGGGTTGTCAGGCAGGCTAGTTCACTCAGGGTCTTCAGTATCTAACAGTAGTGAGAAGTTGAAGTTGGAACATAAAGAATAGCAAGACAACAGTACTGAAGAGAAACACTCTCACTTTTCAACCAAGGGCAGGCAGGGCTCTTGCATGTGGTCTGTGCTTTTCAATGTCTTAGATGCAGGAAATGGAGAGCCGTAGGCCTTTTAGGAGAAGGTACAGCTTTATTCCATTTTTTTTAATCTCTCATAGTATCCAGTATCTGCATAGGTTCAGTCATTAAAATTCACACAGGTAAGTTCTGGGTCATTTGGAGACTAGACTCAAATTTAATTCCCATTTCTCAGAGAGCCTTTTAGCTTTGGCCTTTAAATATACATATATTGTACCTTTGTATGATTTGAAAACACAAAACAGAATGCGTGGAGAGAAACGCACCAGTGACTTTTTGGTTATGGATCATGAGAACAGAGGATGCAATGGCTTATTCTAGTTCCCCAGAGTGACTATGTTGTGGTAAAGACAGTTGGATTGAAATGATTGCCCAAAATATTCTGGAACAAAAATATTAACATTCACAAAGGAATTTTCTCTGATCCAAGTGTCTTAGGAAGCCTACTACTCCAGCTGCTTAGCATTCACACCCTTTCACATTGAGTGTTGGGCTTCCTTGCATTTTTTCACAGATGGTACCTGATATGTGTAGTGATTTGTAACTGAATTTAGAAACCTGCGGTAATTAGATGTGACTTTTAAAATAAGGCATATTTTTCTGACACAATCAGCCTTTGCTCCTTTACTGTCCCTACAAGGAATTTTGAAATTGGCTGCCACTTTCTTGTGTGTTGCTCAGGTTTTCTTGCTGTGGGTTAAGTTGGAGGTCACCCCGTGACTCTGTCAGAGGCACAGGTTTTCCAAGCTGATGTTCTGCAGGGAGCTCTTTGCAGTTGTCCTAACTGTTGTCTTCTCTGGTGCAGGTAGTGGTAAGCTGGAGGCCTGAATGGCAGCTTCCTGAACTCCTGCTCCCAATAAAGTCATTTACATGGCAAAGACAAGTTCTCAGGGTGTCTAGTGGCGTGTTTGGTAACTGCTTCTTATGCTTCTGTAATGTGTATTTGGTGACATGATGAAAGAATTAAAACTTTTGCAGAATGTAATGTTTCATATTTAGTAATCATCTAAATATTATCTGCTGTCCATAATAAAAATCAAAACTGACCGACCAGCCAAATGGGCCTACATTCTAAATAGCCCTTGAACTAATTAATCCATATGACAAGAGCATTGAGACCATTGCATGGCCTGCTGGTTTGCTCTCAGTGTCTTTATGTATAATTCTAATCTTAATTTCCACGTGTCATGTCAATTCCTATACATGTAGCTCCTCTGCTTGCGTTACTTAGGATCCTTTTATTGTCTTGTTTTGTCTTGTCTTTTTCCTGAGCAAGGTCACTCTATAGTTATATATCTGAACTTGTCTATATGATGCAAAACGTTCCTGGCTTTGTCAAGCCAGCTTTATAAATGTGTTCCTTAACTTTACCTCTTTTGCCATGGTTTTTCTGGAAATGAAGCCCTCAGTGTCTTCCCTAATTTCCTGTCAAAGCTAAAGTGAGATGAAGATAGGGAGGAAAGAGAAGGCATCTCTGAGCCTACAGACCTTCTATGTGGCTGTCGCATTATGAAGAATCTGGTATTGTTTGCTTTGTGTCTTTTCTTTTTACTCTGCTGTCTCCATCTGCATTATTTCATCCCTTGAATGTCTGTAGTTCAAATTTGGAAAATTGTGATGGTGCTATGGACAGCAGGTAAACTTTAGAATGGGAGGAACCTGGATTCACGTTCAATCCCTGCCAATACCTAGCTGTTAGACCTCAGGAAGGTTCCTGGAATCTCTGGGACTCAGGGCCCACATCTGCGAAACGGGACAAATGCATGCACGTGTGAAATTCTTGTGAGAAAGAAAGTATAAAACAGCAGCAGAATATTTATGCTAGTGTCTCCATGTGGTTTATAACCAGAAGGCCTAGTTTCCTTCACACTTCCAAGTGGTCTTCAGAGTTTTTTACATCCATCATCCATATCTGGAATTACTTTCATGGTCATCAACTCATAGTTATATTTTGCACATGTCATCATCCACAGATGTTTTATTTATTTATTGTCTTTCCAGACATTATTAAAGACTCTAGATACACTTTTTTGATACTTTTTGATTTGTTTCCACTTAAATGATGTTCTAGTTACATTTTTAATCACAATTTTTTGCTATATATTATATTTATCATATTACGGCAATAACTCCCTGACTGGAAATTAAATTTAGAATAAATAGTGTATTAAATTTTCTCATACATCTGTAAAATCCAAAGACCTTTTATTTCTTGATAGCCAGTCACAGCACGTGTGAGCTGAACTATTTCTAACTTCCTTTTACTGTTGAGCTCCAAACTTTGTATTTAAACTTATAGATTCTTTTTTTTTGGGGGGGGTTGAGACAAGGTTTCTCTGTGGCTTTGGATACTGTCCTGAAACTAACTCTTGTAGACCAGGCTGGCCTCGAACTCACAGAGATCTGCCTGCCTCTGCCTCCCAAGTGCTGGGATTAAAGGCGTGTGCCACCACCGCCGGCCAAACTTGTAGATTCTTATTATTTACATTTGCTCTTGTCTCGTATTTCCTGCCCTTCAATTCTGCTATCATTCATGGTATTCACCTTTTTTTCTGAGTCTCCATTTTGTCAGTATTTTGCCAGCCTTCTTTAGACTGTCCGAAAAATTTTGGAATCAGCACCTGCTTCTTACTGTTTGAGTGTTGGTACATGGTCCTTTGCATTTTTGTATTCAGTTGGTTCCTCCTCAGTGATGCTGGGGTAAATCGTAATCATTTCTTCCCTGGGTAGAATCTAGATCCATAGCTGTGTCCACAATCACGTGATTGCTCTGGTGCATGTTTCATGGCAGATTCTTACTTAGACGCTAATTGTCAGTTTAAAATTTATCTGTGCACCTGCTGGCATACATCACTCATCGTCTCCCAGAGATAGTGGGCTCTTGGTTCATTGGAGCCTTGCTTCTTCTACGATAGTCAGGCAACCCTGTCAAGGACTGGGGTGTACCTGTAGTACATGCAAAGGCCCGGGGTTCCATCCGCGAACTCCCCCAACATTACAGTAGCTAGTAAGGTACCCTTAGGATCAGACAGCACAGCCTCTTGAGTTTGGAAGACTCTTTGCCAGTGGCTTTATGTGGCTGTAGGATGGGAACTATGTACGCACATGTGAGCTAGATGTTTGCTTGTTTCTTCAAACAGTAAGTAGTGTGGGGATGAGAAGAGTCCTCAAGTCGTTCCTTTACTGTTTCAGTTCTTCTTTATTAGATAATCCTCAACACTTTAAAAACTTAGAAAAGTGATGTATTCCTGTCTGAATCTACCCTCTCCGTTCTACAGGCAGATTCTGGTACATACTACTGTTCACTTTATTCCTAGAGACTGAAGGGAATTAAAATGCTTCCCAGAATTATTCTGTGGTTTTAAATTCTGAACACATTAGGGCTATATCCCAGAATGGCTATCACTTGTAAAATAAATATTTATTGATTTATTTCTCTAGATGTTGAAGATGCCATAGTAAAAGCTAGACAAATAACTTCTGATTTCATAATCTTTCATTATATAGGTAGCTTATCATGGAGTTTTGTCTATGATAAAATCTAGTTTGTATAATTCCTATGCTAGTTACAGATGTATGTATAATTAGTTTCCTGTGTTCAAAGGAAAGCCATCCATGGTTTGTGTACCATATGTCACTTGGTGACTTAGCAGAAAATTTGTTTCTTATAGTTCTAGACCCAGGGATGTTTAAGAACAAGATTCTATGTGGGGCAGTGGTGGTGTACACTTTTAATTCCAGTGCTCAGGAGGCAGGGGGTCTCTGTGAGTTCAAGGCCAGCCCATTCTACAAATCAAGTTCTAGGATAGACCAGACTATACCAGAAGCCCTGTCTTGAAAAATCAAAAACCAAAACAAAACAAAAAAGACCAAGAATCCAGCAAGGTAGGATTCCTTCTAAAGCCTTGCTTTGTAGGCAGCAGACATTTCATTGCCTTCTCAAAGCACAGCTGTTTGCACACATCAGGGAGAGCCCATGAGGGTGAATAAGGCGGCACTAATTCTGTTAGACTAAGGCCCCTCGAATACGACCTTGTCTAAGTCTAAGGATGAAGAAAGGGAGGGAGTTCTTCAGTCTCTAAAACATCCCAGAGCACCAGCCTTTCCTGGTGTGGCATGAAAGCAAAGAGTATTCCTTGCTTTCTTGTCTCAGGTCTCCCAACTCTCCTCTCTCAGTGCCGAAGAGAATGTCAGTATTTACTAGAATAAATACACAGTCTCATTTCTGTGGGGGATAGCCAGAAATATTGGCTATACCTTAAACCTAGACTTGGCTTCACACTGAGAAGACCTTCGGCATTGCTCTGTTTCTGCTCTTTCTCTTCTTGACTTGTAGTTCACTAGGTTTTTTTTTTTTTTCTGCTTTCTGGGATTGTGGACTAAGTGATTAATTCTAGAAACTGGGCTGTAGATTTGAGCATCTCCAGTTCTGAAAAATGCTGGTGCTGAGGGGGGAGCGAGAGAAAAGTAATGGAACTTACTACCTTCTACCTTGCTTTATTTTCTTAGCGTTCCCGTCCACTCTCTGCCAGTGACGCAGAAATGAAAAACCTTGTGGCCTCGGCCCGGGAGAAGGTACCAGGGAAGTTAGGCGGTTCTGTGCTTGGTCTGTCGATGGAGGAGGTAAAGATTATTTTATTTCAGGCCTTTGTGGGTTAACACAGGGTTTAGTGCAAATGAGTGAGGGATTCGTAATATAAATGACAAGAAATTCATGTCTTTCTCTGAACAGAAAGATTCTAGATAGGAGAAATTTCTCCCCAGAGCACATTCTAAATGTCATTGATTATTCCACACATGTATTTGTCGTTTTTTTATTTGTAACTCTGCCTTTGTCTTATAGCCACGTGGATTTCAGGTTTCAAAGCAGGTACTCTTTTATCTTATTCCGTTCTTTCTTCCTCTACCTAGATCAAAGTTTTACGGAGGGTAAAGGAAGAGAATGACCGGAGAGGAGGATTTATCCGCATATTTCCTACATCTGAGACATGGGAAATATATGGGTGAGGTGACTGCCTTTTTTTTTCTCCTAAAGTTATACCTCAAGTCTGCAAAGTTAGCTTGATTGTGACTCTGGGTTATTGCTTCTAATTTGGTACCTTTCTTACCTTATTTAAAATAATAATTAATCCACAAATCAGGCATGATGATACATGCTTATAATTTCCATATTCAGGAGGTAGAGGCAAGAGGTTCAAATTCATCCTCTGCTGCATAGTGAGTTCGAGGCCTCCCTGGGCTCCTTAAGACCCAGACTTCAGAGAGTGGGAAAAAAGACAAACCACCAATATCAATAAATCCAAAAATATGACCATCAATGGTAATCAACCCACTTATGTATTGAAGTTACCTTCCCCCCTTTTTAAGATTCATTTTCATTAGTTCCGATTACATGTATAGGTATACATGTAGCTGTGTGTGTGTGACTACAAATGGTCTCGTGAGCCAGAGACATTGGATTCTCAGGGACTGTTGTGACAGACAGTTGTGAGTTGCCTGCTTGATGTGGGCGCTGAAACTGAACTCAGGACCTCTGGAATAACAGTTAGTGCTCTTAACCTCTGAGCCATCTCTCCAGCCCTCCCTCCCCATCTTTAATCCCTTGTCTCCCTCCTAACCAGTTCTCTGTACTTAATTTTATGTTTTTCATCATCTTGATTTGAAAACTTATTTGTTCTCACTGTATGTGCCTAAATAATCTCATTTCTGATAAGCACTTAGTTCTAGTTTCCAGACAACAAGTACAATGCCTCCCCTGTAAGTATGCATTTTGATGATGGTTTTTGGCAAATTAAACCCCAATGTAACTGCTCCACAACTATTGCACAGGACACTTCCATAAGTCCTATATGATCCACGGCAGCTTCCCTCCTCTGTAATCTCAGACTTCAGTCATCAGCAGAGCATGTTTCCCAGGCGCACTTATACATGTGGAGTCAATCACTACGTAGTTTCTACACTTGGCTTCTTTTTTTTAATACAGTATTTTTGAGGTCCCTGCATGTTGTCATATGAACCAATAATCCATTATTTATTCCTGTGTACTGTTTGATTGTGTGACTCTGTCACAGTATTTTTATTCATTCTCCTACCATGGACGAGGTATGTCCATTGTCTGGCTGCTGTGAAGAAAACCCCTGTGGGTGTTCAAGGGCTGGGCCTTGTGTACCCTTAAAATTTCATTTCTAGAGTAGAATTTGATAAGGCATTGACCAGTGGTGATATGCTTTTACATTTTTATCCAAGATGTTGGAAAGCTCTAGTTGGTTTCCTTCCTTACCATCACTTAGTGTCACTGTGCTTTTTCAAATTAGGCAAACTAGTGCATCTCTGTGGTTGAATGTTTTTCTAAGAGGGTTAACAATACTGGGTATATTACCTCTGTTGGTACTTCTTTTTATTACTGTGTTACAAAAGACTTTGATATGTTTGCTACAATTCCTTTCTTGGAGATGTGTGTATATACATGTATATATGCATGTACACATGTGTCTATATAGTATTTCCTCCAAGTCTGTGACTAGTTTGTTCATTTTTATAAGAATGGCTTTTGTTAAAGCTTAGCTATTGTATTTCTTTTCTATGAAATATTTGCCACTTTCTGTGGTGCAAAGCCCTTTTCTCTTGTGTTTCTAATAGGAAGTTTTGTTAATTTAGCCTGCATATGAGGTCTGTAATATGTTTTGAACTAAGTATTGAGTGTATAAACTTCAGGGTAGGTTCCTCTTTAGTGACACCCCACACATTTTGATTGTTGTGTTTTGTTTTTATCTATTTAAAATATTTTTTCATTTCCCTGTTCATTTGCTTTTTAAGTTATTTAAAAGCATATTTGTTTTTAAAATATTTGGGGTTATTTCTTTTAGTAACTGATTTTTCAGTTTACTTCTGTTGAGGTCAGAGAATATAATTTGTAAAACTCGAGTCTTAGAATTTACTGAAATTTCTTATATGACTCATTGTGGCACATGGAAAGTGTATGTTGAAAGGGTGTTTGACCTGTGACTGGATGGACTGCATCAGGAAGGTATATCAGGCCATAGGGTCTGTGCTCTTAACTCAGCCATCTTTACCCCTCCTATCAATTGTTGAGATTCTGTCTGGAAGTTTACAGCTGTCCTTAGTGACACCATTTCCTTTTGGTTCTGTCCATTTTGCTGTGTTCTCGAACACTATTGTTGAGGGCACCTTCAGGCTGTATCTCCATGAGAAACAGGCTTCTTCCCTGTTAAGAAAAATTCTTTGTTCCTCATAATGAGACCTGTCTGTCTGTCTGTCTATCTACTCTATTTATTCTGAAGTTTACTTAATGTGCCTTAATTACTTCTCCTTTTTCTTGTGACTAGTATTTTTCTATTGCTTTGTCTTACAATTTTTGTTTGTTTGTTTGTTTCTTGAGACAGGATGTCCTGTAAGTCTGTTTACAGACCAGGCTGGCCTCAAACTCACAGAGATCCACCTGCTTCTGCCTCCTGAGTGCTGAGATCAAAGGCATGTACCACCACCAGGAGACTTTTGTCTTACAATTTAAAAATTAAAAACATAACTGATTTTATCTTTCTAACAATGTTTCTAAACAAATGATGTTTAGAGGTTAGAATGACTAATCTCATGGTTACTTTTGGTGGTAGAAACACCTAAAATGCCTCCCACTTTGCAAGAATATTATTACCCATGGTCACCATGCTACATAGTAGATCTGCTAACTTTACTTCCTAACTCTAAAAGTCTCTTGTTCTCACTGCTCTGCTCTCTAAGTATGATGTTAGACTTCTGTGTGGGTTCTGCATAGGAGTAAATAATACAGATTTGTTTTTCTATGCCTGACTTACTTCATCCACATTTATGACCTCCAGGTTCATCTATGTTGTTGAAGATGACTAGATTTTGCCCTTTCTAAGATATAACAATATTTTACTGTGTAGGAAACACGTTTTTCTTCATCCATTCCACTCTGGATAGAATAATTAAATTGACTCTATATACATTTACAGTGTTTTCATAAATATGAAAATACAGGTATCTCTTGCTGGATCACACAGTAGTTCTTATTGTTAATTTTTGAGGAATTTTTATGCCGGTTTCCATAGTGACAGTTTACATTCCCAGCAATGCATCTAAAGGGTTCCTTCTCTTTTTCTGCATCCTTGCTAGCTAGTTTAATCCTTTTTTTTTTTTTTTTTTTTTTGGCTTTTTGAGACAGGGTTTCTCTGTGTTGTTTTGGAGCCTGTTCTGGAACTCGCTCTGTAGACCAGGCTGGTCTCAAACTAACAGAGATCCGCCTGCCTCTGCCTCCCAAGTGCTGGGATTAAAGGCGTGCAACACCAATGCCAGGCTCATTTAATCTTTTGTCTCTGTTTTTCTTTGGTTTCTTTGGTGCACTTGGGGTATAGCACTCAGGGCCATCTTTGCATTCTTGGGATGAGTCTTAGGTGCTTAAGTCTTTTTAGTGGTTTTTTGTTTGTTTGTTTGTTTTGTTTTTCGAGACAGGGTTTCTCTGTATTGTTTTGGAGGCTGTCGTGGAACTCACTCTGTAGACCAGGCTGGCCTCGAACTCACAGAGATCTGCCTGCCTCTGCCTCCCAAGTGCTGGGATTAAAGGCGTGCGCCACCAACGCCCTTCATTTAGTTTTTTTTTTTTAAATATGCTTTGACTTCAGTGTGTTGAGGATTTTTGCATTTCCTCCCTTGCTCCCCTTCTCCCCCTCCCTCCCTCCCTCCCTCCCTCCCTCCCTCCCTCCCTCCCTCCCTCCCTCCCTCCCTCCCTCTCTTGCTCTGCCCCTCTCCTCTTTTCATCCATCTTTCTGCCCATCCTTGTCTGGTTTTGACATTAGGACAATGTTGACCTTATATAAGGAGTTTAGAAGTATTCTCTTCTCTGATTTTTTTCCCTCTCTTGTTTTTTTTTTGTTTTTTTTTTTTTTTTTGGTAATTGTTTGAGATCTGATATTAGTACAGATGCCAGAACCTAGGTGGTGACAGCAGTAGCAGCTTCCTCCTCCTCCTCTTCTTCTTTTTAACTGAAGACTTCATTATTTCCATATTTTATTCTTCTGTTCATATTTTTATTCATCTGTTCATATTTTTATTTGCTCATATTAAATCTTAGTATGTTGTATGTACACAGGACCTTATTCATTTTCTCTAGATTATCAGGTTTATTAGCATGAATTGTTCTTTAATCGTTTCTTACCCTTAGGATCTAGAGCAATACGTGTTTGTGTGCTTCTGTATGGGTTTGTGCGTGTGAATGTGGCTCCCTGCAGAGGCTGAAGGAGGGCTCTGGATCCCGGCCCTAAAACTGGAGTTACAGGTCATTCTGGGCTGCCTGATGTGGGTGCTAGGACCCAATCAGGGGTCCTCTGTAAGTGCTTTTAATTGCTGGCCATTTCTCCAGTTTCAACATCCCCACTCACCCCGTTTTTCTGAGGCAGGGTCTCATATATCCAAGCTGGCCTAAAACTTGCTATATACCCAAGGATGACCTTGAACTTCTACCTCCTGAGTGCTGGAATTACAGGTTTGAGCCACTAGGCCCAGTTTATATGCTGCTGGAGATGGAGTCCAGAGCTGTGTGCATGCTCCCGCTAGGTAGAGACTCCCAACAACAGCTATATCCCAGCCATGACCCTTTGCATCTCTGTTAACCAGTGTGATTTCTCCTTTCATCCTGCTTTGTTTTCCTTTTTTTAATTTAAATTTGAGTCTTCTTTGTTTTTTCATTACTCTAACTAAAGGTTTATTGATATTATCTTAGAAAAATCATCTTGGGGCTGGAGAAATAACTCTGCAGTTAAGAGCACTTGTGGCTCTTACAGAGGACCCAGGTTCAATTCCCAGCACCCACATGGTGGCTCACAACCATCCGTAACTCCAGTTCCAGGGGATCCAGTGCCCTCTTCTGACCTCCATGGGCACCAAGCACGTGTGTGGTGCACATACATACATGTAGGTAAAACATACATAAAATACAATGAATAAATTAATAAAAATTTAAAAAATCATCTCTGCTAGCTGGGTAGAAGAAGGGTTTCAGGGGGAAAGGTTGGAGGATAAAAGGGTAACAGGGGATGGATATAATCACAGTACACTATGCATATGCATGAAGCTGTGAAAAGTAAATAAAATTTAAAATCAAGCAAAAAGAAACTACATCAAGTAATTAAAGAAAACAACTCATTTCATTGATATTTTGAATTATTTATCTAGGTTTTTTTCTTGGTTTATGTCATTCATGTCATCTTTTGATTAATAAGTTATCCTATCTCTCTGTTTTTCCTCTAGTGACCATCTATTTTGTTATTACAAAGTACTCCTCAAATAATATACTATGTCATCTATAAAATAGGGTCTTTACAACCATACATTTCTATCCTTCTTGTGTTATTGTTGGTCTGAGTTTTGCTTCTAAATCCCATGTTACTGCATTGTTATTTTTGCTTGAAGAGTCAGTTAAAATGTAAGGAAAACTAAGTCTTCCATTTATACATACATTGTTGTTTGCCGTAGTCTTCCCAGTGTTTCCAGCTGAAGAACTTCCTCTTTCAGGGTTAGATGTGTCCTGCACAGCTCCAATGGCAACACGTTGTCCACTTCCGTTTCTGTACAGATGCTTTTGTTTCAGCATTTGAAAGATTTTCTTGACAAGTTGTAGATAAAATTCTAGATTGACACTATTTTCTCTAGTACTTAAAAAAAAGTTTTTCGTTGTCGTCTCCTGGCATCTTATTCTTAGGAGGACTATGCAGTGTCTTTTGTTGCCTCCTGGTGTGCTTATTCTTTTGCTCAAAGTGTTATCCCCTCCTTTAGCTTCTTTCTAAGGGTGTGGATGTAGTTTTGTGAAGTGTGTGTGTAGTGTAGAACTGCATGCAGAGGCCAGAGACCAATGCCAAGCATCTTTCTTGATCATTCTCCACCTTATTTTATATTGTTTATATATTACAGGGCACGGGGGACAGTGATTGTGTGTGTGGCACAAGTTGTGTGGACATTAAAGGATGTCTTGCAGGAATTGAGTCTTTTTGGCAGTTAGGTCCCAAGGATAGACCACAGGTCCACCAATCTTAGTGGCAAGTGCCTTAACCTACTGTACCATCTCTCTGGCCTGTTTGTTTGTATTTGAGACAGGGTCTCTCATTGATAGAGCTCTTAAGCTTGATCAGACTGCCTGGACAGTGAACTCCAGGTGTGTTTACACACTTAGCACTGATGTTACAGATATGCACCACTGCCCCTTCCTCTTTATGTGGTTGCTAAGAAGCCATACTCAGGTCCCAAGTTACCCAACAGGCACTTTGTCAACTAGCCATCTCCACAGCCCCAAGATTATTTTTTATGGCTGCTTTCATCTGTTTGACTGTTGTATGCCATGGCCATTTATTTTTGCATTTAAGGTCAATTTTCTTTTTCTTTTTTGTTTTAAAGTTAGTATTCATTTGTCTGCAGCATCTTAACTTCTAATAATTCTAGTGAACATTTTATTTCCAATATTCATTTTTTGTATGTAGAATTCCTTTTTTCTATGCCTTGTTTCCCTCTTTTAAAATTTCTTTTAGATTTTGTGCATGCACTGTAATAATTTGAGTAAATATCTGTCTTTTTTTTTTTTTTTTTTTGAGACACGATTTCTGACTGTCCTGGAATTTGCTCTGTAGACCAGCCTAGAGATCCATCTGCCTCTGCCTCCCAGTTTTTTAGGTTTTTTTATTATTATGTTGATTATTATTATTATTGTTATTATTATTTTTGGTTTTTCAAGACAGGGTTTCTCTGTATTGTTTTGGAGGCTGTCCTGGAACTCGCCCTGTGGACCAGGCTAGCCTCGAACTCAGAGATCTGCCTGCCTCTGCCTCCCGAGTGGTGGGATTGAAGGCGTGCGCCACCATCGCCTGGCTTTTAATTATTATTGTTATTGTTATTGTTATTATTACTATTACTATTTTTACTCCTGTCTGTCTCTTCTGAGTCCATTGACTGGCATTCCTTTAGCTTATGGCAGTGGTTTCCTAATGCTGTGACCCTTTAATATCGTTCCTCATGTGACCCCCCAACCATAAAATTATTTTGTTGCTTCTTCATAACTGTAATTTTGCTGCTATTATGATTCACAATGTAAATATCTGATATGCAGCATATCTGATATGTGACTCCTGTGGAAGGATCATTTGACTCCCAAAGGGGTCGTAACCCACCTGTTGAGAACCACTGGTTTCCAGGATACACTATTCACATGTACAGTAGATTTTGATTAGATGCTATATATTTAAATTCTATCTATCCATTGTTCAGATTTCCTTGCCCACTTTAAGCCCTGTTCAAGTTTTTTGTTGAGGTATTTGAATTATTTGTAGATCATAATCTTTTTCCAGCCTGCAAAGCTAGGGTTCCTTTAATATAAGCCCAGTATATATCTATGTCAAAAGACACTGTTGGGGTGTCTGTGTGGTGACCCAGCTTTCAGAAGATTCCCGTGTCTGGCAGCTGGAACTCCATCTGCAGCCCCCTGTGAACTGTGGCAGTATTGAGGTACATTAGTCTTGCTTGTTCTTTACTCTGACTGTTGCCTTTTGCTTAATCCGGAGGGCTTTTACCTTCTGCTTGAGCAGATTGGTATGCACCTCAAAACTCATTATTGTGGATTTTTTCCCTCATACATAGCCTGCTCCTCTTCAGTACCTTACCCTGAAAATTCTAGATGCTTTTTATAGCTTTGATCTAGTCTTTTCATCTGAGAGACTGTGGGACTCCCCTTGGATCCTCCATTTTATGAATGCTCTGGAAATCGCCTGTAGGAAGAAAGGCAGAGAAACTGGAAGATTTAATTCTGTTACCTTTCACTAATAAGAATCACTCCCTGCGCCACCATTTGTTAAATGTCTGAAAACAGTTGTTTCTATATCTCGTACACTTTTCTGACTTTGGTGCCAGGGAGCAGGGCCGGTAGCAGTTATCCTCTCATGCGTAGAAGCAGAATTTTGTTTCATTGCTTTTGAACATTTTCCAGACAGAAAGTGTATGTTCCATGTAATCTTGCTCTTTTCATTAAACACATTACCAAGATTCATGTAGCTACAGCTCATTCCCTTAGAGTACCCTTTCCCCCTTGAAACTGTGGCTTGAAACTGCTATTAATTTCACATTCTTCTGTTGATGGACATTTGACTTTTCTGGTCCATAGCTGTCAAAGACAGCTATGTTGCTGACATTCTTGAATGTGTCTTCTGGGCATGTATCTAGGAATGGATTGCATCATGCAGCTTTTCTGGAAGAAGTGTTCTTGGAGACAGCATGTGACAGGAAGAACAGAGCAAGTCAGACAAGGAAACCTGTAGACTCAAGAGCGCTCCTATAAAGGAAGGCTTTGTGCAACAGGGTAAACTTGAGCAGCCATTATGCTAGGAAGGTTTCCATTTAGAGGCAGAGGGTTCGTGGGAGATGTGGGATGAGAAAGCTCCTAGGAGACCTATCTAATTGGTGTTGCAAAATCACATTCAACAGCTGTGCAGAGAACATGTGAATCAATGAGTGATACAGTTTCTGAAAGTTTGCAAGAAGAAATGCATGTCCCCTGCAGTAAGCAGTGTGGAAGTACTGGATGCTCCCGCTTTGGGGACAGCTGAACTGAAAGCCTCCTGTTTCTCTCCTTGATGCAGCTCTCTCCACTTCCTGTTGTTGTCCTTGTCTATGCGTGATTTCTTGGCTAGTTTTCTTTTTACCTTCCAGAGTGACATTTTGAATGTAGAATATCATCACCTCTTATTAATCTAAAAGAGAATGTTGTCTTCTGTTTTCTAAGTTGAATCCTCTTCTTATTCTTTGTTTTATTCTACCTGTTTTTACTCTAATTGTTTATCAGTTACTTTGAGCAACCATCTCCTCATTTGGCACTTTAGAAATGGTATATAAATATTCTATCAATTTTGTACTTGATTTGTGGTTTTATTTCTGTCTTTTTCCTCTTTAACTAAACTTAAGAGATAATTTGCTTTCTTTCTTTGTCCTTCAGGTCCTACCTTGAACACAAAACCTCCATGAACTATATGCTGGCAACACGCCTGTTCCAGGACAGGTAGGAATTTGCACAGCTAAATGTTAGAAGCATATGTAAAAGAAGGGTAGTAGCTTTATCAAAGTCTTCATGCAGGTCCTGGGGTAGAAAGGCCTTTTACAAAATCCAGTATATCGCTCATTTTCCAACATGCATTAACAGCTCTCAGCATTTTGTTATATTTGTAAAAGCCAACAAGTCATAAAAGTCTTCTGAGCAGTCTTACCAGATGCCCCATTTCCCTTCTTTTTTTTTTTTTTAAGAAGATCCTTATTCAGCACCTTTTGCATGCGGTTTGCTCTCCCTCCCTCCCTCCCTCCCTCCCTCCCTCCCTCCCTCCCTCCCTCCCTCCCTCCCTCCCTCCCTCCCTTCCTCCCTCCCTGTAGAAAGGGTTTACTTGGGCTCACAATTTAAGAGGCCAGCTCATCATGTCAGCAAAGCTCTGGAGTGTGGTGCAGCTGGTCACACTGCATCAGCAGTGTGTAAAGCAGAGAGTAAAGAATGTTCTAGACACAGTTTTCAATGGTGGAATCATCTGGTTCTCAAGAAAAAAGTATTACTGGTTCAGAGTACAAGGGGGGTTCATAAATGGCAAATTAAACGCATAGGTGCACATGCCAGCTGGTAAGCACAATGCCAGGGGAGTTGGGAACTGATGTTAGCAGAAGCTGGAATCCAGATGACCCAGCTACCAGGGCCATTTACCCTTCTGGATGCTTGTAGCCCATGCTGTATAACCACATTGTACAACAGCTCGGTAATTGGTAATTTTAATGAAGCACCTTAGTTGTTTGAAGAGATTCTCTTTAATGATATGTCTTGTTTTCTGAGGAAGTCTTAAAATAGATACCTAGACTTCAGCCATCTGCAGTTTCTTGGTTATCATAGGAAATTGGATTTGCACTTTGCAAATCTGTGTATTTGTGGTAAATAGTGTTGAATAATCACACACATGGCTTTTGATGATCCTTAGATTTGCATGGAAGACAGTCCCAGATCTTTGCATGCAAACTGGAGTTTGGACTGAGAACTCGGTCAAGGTTTCTTTATCTGTGCATGTCAGATCCTTCAGCAGGATTGTCAGTACTCTGGCTTTGTATCCCACAGCCTAGTTGTAAATCTTTCAATGGGAATAGCCTCCTTTCTCCCGATTCTCTGTGGAGTTACTGACACATTTTGGCTATATTCTCCATTTCCTTTTTTATTCCTTTCATATTTTAGCTTTGTATCCCTGGAGATTTATTTTCTGTCGTTTCTTTGAGATGGGCTTATGTTAGAGCCCGCTTCAACCTCCTACCAACTGGAATTAAGATGTGAGCTACCATGCCTAACTTCTTGAGGGTTTCTTATACTTTGTATTCTAAAACTCTCTTAAAGTAGTCTGTAGCTCTGTTTTTCATTTACCATGATCACAGACAGGAGGCACAACGTTTACTTTCCTATTTGGGAAAGTATGACTTTCATATCCAGGAATTACCCATGCTTTTGACTAGCTTTCATGTTTTATGCATGTATGTCTTTCCAAATCTTTTTGTCTTGAGATCTTTTCAGCTTCTTCATATTCATTCTTCTCACCTAGAAAAGTAATTTTTTACTATCAAGTAAAAAGCTATCAACTAAAAAATCTATTTCTTACTGTCAAGTATCTGCATATATTCGGTGAGCTTTGATTGTCTGGTCATGTATAGAAGTAATCCTCTAGTTTCTTAAAATAGGCATTTGCACAGGTTTCCTTCAAAGATCTATTGTTCTGTTTCTGAACTGACATGAACTCCATCCTTGACTCTGTATCTTTCCACACTTGGGTTTTTCATGAGGGGTAAAGAAGGCACAGCAGGCCAGTTGGAAACCCAGCCTAGCCATAATTATGAAACATTTTGTTTGGAGTGAGAAATGTGATGTATAGTATATGTGAATGGGCATGATGTCATACACCTGTAATCTCAGCACTTGGGAAGCTGAGGCAGGAGGATCAAGATTTTGAAGCCAGTGCTACATAATGAGACCGTATCTCCAAAAACAAAACAAAATATTTATCTTATTCATTAGTAAAAACAGCCGCAGCCTTGCCAGCCACCATGGTTTCAACCAGTGAGCAGTGTCTCCAGCATTTAGAATAGTGTGACAGGAAGAAAGTGAAGTTTCTTTTGAAAATGAGTTATAATAACCCATTAGTGTGCTGGATGTGGTGGTGCATGCCTTTAATCCCAGCACTCTGGAGGTCGAGGCAGGTGGATCCTGGTGAGTTAAAGCTAGCCTTCTTTCCAGGCTAGATGGGATATATATACCTTGTCTTTAAAACAACAAAAACTATTATTGTGTATTTTCCTAAATTTATATGGATAATAATTAGACTACATCATGCAAGTTAGCATATTTCTGTAATCTTTCTGTATGTTTCAGCTAACAACTGTTGGATATAAACTTACTTCCTACTAAGAAAACAAATTTCCCCACTTAGCAAAAAATGCCTTTATGATCTATTCTGACCACCTTTTAAAGCATCATCTCCAGGATTCGTACCAACCTCAGTTCAATGAGGCCACATTTCCTTACTTTTTATACCTCCTTATCTTTACAGACTTCCCTTTGCTTGTGATACCTTCCATTCATCCCTAAATAGCTCTAGCTAAGTCTTTCGTCCTTCAGTCAGCATTATATTCCTGGACTGGATTACAAGTCCCCGTTACTGACGTGTACTTCACCTGTTGTCATTTGAGTGGATGCTTTGTTGCGTTCATCTTTGTCAGTGTGGAGAGCCTATCAGTATAAAAAAATATGCTTTGAAAGAAATGAAATATGTTCATTCAAATCCTCACATCTTCTACTAAATTTCGTCTCTCAATCTGAATTGTTTCCTTCACACATTAAATTGTTATTGTCAATTTCAAACTGATTATTCATTCATTTCTTTTAGGTCAGGTTTTCCACCTTCCATCCCTTCCCACAACTCTTCCTGTCTATTTGACCAGCTTTGGCAAACAGTATCTTACTTAGTGTCCTATTGTATGACAATAGATTAAAAAAACTCTGGCTGCAAATTAGTAACCCAGAGGGATCTTGTAAGTGACATTTATGCCCTTGCCCCATCCCTGGAGGGAAGTGGAGTTACTCATTAAAAGCTATCCATGGGATTGTACTTAGAGACCATGATTATAGATCCCTAGAGATGACCATTGTCTGGGCTTTAGTCATCCTGAGTTTCCTGGACTGCTCTTATCAGGACACTAGCAGAATAGGAAAGTATAGGAAAAGATAAACAAAGCAGCCTCATGAAAATTTAACTTCTTTCTCTTGATTCTCTGAAAATATTATCTATATTACTTTTGCCTTTTAAAACATTCCACAATTTATATACTATGTGTCTCCATTAACATGCCACTTTTGAAATGACAAAGTATTTGATTGAATAAGTTAATGGAAAGAGAATTGGCTAGGAAGTATGCATAGTAATGAAATGCCAAAAATGGTAGCTTCATGGTGAGTATATAGTTGTCCAGTATCTTGTGGTGGATACATGTGATGTTTTAGTTTGGGTTTCTATTGCTGTTAAGAGACACCATGACCATGGAAACTCTTATAAAGGAAAATATTTAACTGGGGCTTGCTTACAGTTTCAGAGGTTTAGTTCATTATCATCCTTGTGGAACATGGCGGCACACAGGCAGATCTGGTGCTGGAAAAGGACCTTGAGAGTTCTACATCTTGATCCACAGGCAGCAGAAGGAGAGACTGTGTACTGGGTGTAGTTTGAGCATATATGAGACCTCAAAGCCCACTTCTCCTTGTAGTGACACACTTCCTCCAACAAGGCTTCACCTACTCCAACAAGACCACAGCTCCTAATAGTGCTACTCCCTATGGGTCAAGCATTTAAACACAGGACTCTGTGGGGACCATTCCTATTCAAACCATCACAAATGGTGATAAAATTGTGCTAAGCTAGATATAGGAAGGAGTAAGAGTCAGACTGTGGAACACCCCGCACCCCCAGTGTTAAGTGTGGAAATTGAATGAGAAGGATATGTAAAGGAAAAGCAAAAGCCTGTTTAACAAGCATGGTTGACATTTAGTCTTTTTTTTTTTCTTTAGTTGTGGAAAGTATTTTTGATGAACAGTTTTTTTGGAGCCCCATTATAGTGGAACTTGGTTTCCTATTCTGAAATAGTTCATGAAAGCAGAAAGCTCTGTGGTCAGATCTAAGCCCTGAATTCCAGGGTAGACCTTCCAAGCCCTGACTATGGACAGAATGTAGACGTATCCTCTCCTGCTCATCCACACACATACATGTACATGCACACACATGCATGCTCTTACACATGTGCACATGACAGCAGGGGTAATAGCTGCCTTCACTATGTCATGAGGAGTAATTGTGATTTGCTTTATAAGTAGGTGGACAAATATTAAGTCATTGTTCTCATTTTTCTCTGCAATTTCTTTGCCCATTCCCCATTTTTCAAATGATACTGCCTCACAATAGTCTACTTTTCTCTGAGGATGTTCTGCTTCTCCCCAAAATCCCCAGATTGCCCTGCATAGATACCGAGTAACCAATAAAGACTTTGTGAATGTGGTCCTTGAGTGTGTGAACCCTGCAGTGAGTGTGTGGGTGGTACTCCCTAACCCTGCTGTCCTTTCTCCGTCTACAGGGGAAACCCAAGAAGAAACTTGCTGACAGGAAGAACACGGTAACTAATTTTTGAAAGTTGACATTCCTGCCATCTGCCATGTGCAGCCTTGCACAGACCAAATATGCCTTATATAACTGTTTTCAGTTGGGCCCATCATGATTAGCAGCAATGTGTAAATGCTTTCTTTAAAAAAGTATTCTGTGGCCACATATTATTAACTGGATATAAGATTAAATTTATCAAAACTTTATTACATCATTTTAACTGGCAGTAACAGATTTGTTGCTTGGTGGGGTGAAAGAGACCAGGGTGTCAGTAAGACTAAGACTATTGCCATGTTAGCTCCATGGTTTTCTTGTGGCTTTGGTATACATTAGGCACATCGCTGACCCTACTGGAAGTCAGCACATAGGTAGCTTTTCATTTGGACAGAGTAGAAAATAGCCAAAGGAAAAACCAACATGACTTTGCCTAAGTCAAGATGGCAGCTGCCACAGAAACATCTTGGCCTATACGCCTGCAGGTTACAGAGAGTTCAACAATTTACATGTGCCTGCTCTGTGCTGTCCTTTTCAGAAGCAATGTAATAAGAAAGACAGCATAGCTACTTGCATCTCACTTTGTTTTTCATTATGAGTTAATTAAAACTTCCTTTTCACTCAATATCTTGAGTTACTGTGTGTTTGTCTCTGTGTGTATGATGTGTGGGATGTCCTTTTACCATGGCACAAGTGTGGAGGTCAAAGGACACCTCTGTGGAGTTGGTTCTCTTCTTCCTTCTTTACATGGGTTCTGGGGGATCGAAGTCAGGTTACCAGGCTTATACAGAAGTGCCATTACACAACCAGCAATCCCACTGCCACACCCAGGTTTTTTGAAGCATAAATTTAGCTTTTTGGTTTTTTTTTTTTTTTGGTTTTTGTTTTTGTTTTTCAAGACAGTGTTTCTCTATGTCTTTGGAGGCTGTCCTGGAACTAGCTCTTGTAGTCTCGAACTCACAGAGATCCGCCTACCTCTTCTGGGATTAAAGGCGTGCACCACCAACACCCTGGCGCCATAAATTTAACTTTTAAGGAAGTCATGGTATCCTTTTTAGGCATGACTAAAATTAATTGCTTATAGCTTATTTCCAAATGAAAGTTCAAATTTGTAAGTTTTCTTTAGCATTCAGTCAAGGAATAGACTTCCTAGGTATATTGCCATCAATTTAGAAGTTAGAGAAAAGAAGCTAAAAAAAAAACTTAGACAAAAAGAGCACTTAAAAGATCATTTTTGAGCCATTACATGGCTTAGTCATGTAATCCTGGTACATAAGAAACTAACATAGTGCTGTGGTGAGTTCCCAATCAGCCTCAGATACTTATTTTTTCATTAGGCTAGGTTATAGTGTAGAAACCCTGTTTCCAAAACCTAGAAAGAAAAAAAATTATTAAAATGAATGTGTCGTGGTCTCCAATTTTTAGCTGTCATTATATATTAATATTCATGTGAATATTTTGGTAGTATAGAGGATTAAACAGACAAAAGTGTACTGTGGTATTATATGCTGGAGTATGAAAGAAGCATTACTAGATTTAAAAGAATTGAAATAATACCATCATATTCTTGGAAAATCTTCAAATATTTGGGCTAGAAGCAACACATTTCTAAATAATCTATGCATGTCAAGGATATCACAGAGGAAATTAGAAGGTATATTGAAATCACTCATAATAAAAATAAAGAATAAAACAAATAAAATTAAGAATAAAAATAAAGCTAAACTGGTGCCTTGAGGGATATTTGTAGCGTTAAGTGCTTACATTACAAACTGTGCACTGAGCTAGGCACGGTGGATGTGCCTACAATCCTCCTGCTCTGGATGGTAAGGCAAACACTCCTGGCTTCAAAGTCAGAAGAAAGCATGCAAGAAACAGAGGGAGGACTCTGAGGACCGCAGTCACAGACCTGGAGTCTACCTTAAGAAACTACACAAAGCAGAGTAGAGTAACTAGTAAAAGTAACTAGAAGTGAGAAAGGAAGAAAAGGTGTAAGGCAGTTAAACAAAGCAAACAGAGGAGAAAATTGACAAAAGAGAAAGAGCACTGGGTGCCAGCACCAGGTAGAGGGGCTGGCATGAGTGTGACGCTGATAGACACATGACTTAGGCTTTTTGACCATGGCGACTCTTACAAATAAGAACATTTAGTTGGTTACAGTTTCAGAACATCGGTCCTAATTAGGATGGCGAGCATGGCTGCACCTAGGCAGATACGGTGCTGGAGCTGAGAGCCCTACACCTTGACAGAGGCAGCAGGAAGTCGAGTCACTGTCACCCTGAGTGAAGCTTAATTTAAGTTTAAGGAAGACTACTTCTGACTGGCGCGCCTGCTCTGTTGTGTCCCCTGCAGAGGGAATCCTGAAGGAGCACCAGAACTGAAGGTGGAGAGCATGAATTCCAAGGCCAAGCTGCATGCTGCTCTTTATGAGAGGAAGCTACTGTCTCTGGAGGTGCGAAAACGTAGACGACGGAGTGGCAGATTGAGGGCAATGAGGCCAAAATACCCAGGTACCGGCCAGTGAGCATTCACCAAACTGTATGATCTGGGTCCTGGCAGAGCCAGTTAACCAGTTTCTTCCCTAATATCTAATGAGTCAGCGCTTTCCTGAGCCCATGAGGTTAGTTTTGCTCTAGAAAAGGTCTTGCCACTCTGAAACTTAATTGGGAAAGGATTATACGTTTTTAAATGTCCAGTGCCTTAGCACTTGCATTAAAAGCCATCTGAAGTGAAGTACATGTTTTTGGCTCCTGCTCTCCTTCCACCATCAAGCAAATAGTTTAGAATAATGAGTGTTGAGATTAGTGGGGTTCTGCGCTACGCTGCTGGCCTTGAGGATGACTCAGTTCATCTTTTGGAATTGGCCTGAGGGTAAGAGTATTTCAGATGGCGTTTCTCTCCTAGGTTGTCCTACATTACAGATCTGTTTTTAACTGACTCATAGATGGACAGTCCTCCCTCCCTTCCTTGTAGAGCACCTGTGTCAGGCAGCTTGTTAACCATTGGGGTTTCATTGATGAATTAAAAAAAAAAAAAAGATATGGTTCCTGTTCTAAGACAGCAGTAAATGTACACTGGAATGATATTCCCTTACTCTTTACATCTCCGTGGAGGGTGCTTTGTTTTGTTTTGGTTTTTTGTTTTTGTTTTTTTGACACCCTCTGACATGCTGGAGAGTACACAGTCCAGGGCATTTTGTGCTGGGGTTTGCCTTCAGTAGTGAGAGCCATGGGTAGTGAGAACTGATCGTTAATAGGGTTGTTAGGAATATAAGATTATAGTGATGTGCTTTCTGTTAATTTTGTGTCTCGTTGCTAGTTTGGCTTAGAAATGGGTTTTTGCTAAGAAGATAAAGGAAGGTGTTGGGAGAGAGGACATTTTAATCCCTTTTTCAGCAACATTAGTGATTCTCCGCATTTAGTGATTACCCAACCAGCTGAAATGAATATTAAAACTGAGACAGAAAGTGAGGAGGAGGAAGAAGTTGGACTAGACAATGAAGATGAAGAGCAGGAAGCTTCCCAGGAGGAGTCTGCAGGGTCTCTTGGAGAAAATCAAGCCAAATACACGCCTTCGTTGACTGTGATAGTGGAAAACTCACCCAGAGACGGCTCCATGAAAGTCACCGAGTGGACTAATAAAGGTGATCAGTGCTGCAAACTTGAGACTCAAGAGCCAGAGTCTAAGTTTAACCTCATGCAGATTCTCCAGGATAATGGAAATCTAAGGTAGGTACCTTTGAGAGCAATGGCCGCACGCTGGTTACAGCTGACTTGTCCTGAATGCCAGTGCTTGTCAGTGGCTTCAGTTTCCTTTGGTAATCACAGAAGTCCTGTGAACTAATGACTGGGTAGACATTGTGCTATTACAGAAACGGAGGCTTAGAGAAGTAACTTGTCTGAGGTCGAGCTGTAATACGACCTGAATTTCATAGACCCAATGGATGCTTGCTTGGCATTGGTCTCTAAGAGTGTATAGTGATCAAGATGAGGAACTCAAGCAGTTTAGGTTTAGTATGTGAGACCTCAAGGAGCTGGGGCTCTGGCCTCCATAAGGACATGGAAAATGGGTCAGAACAGCCTCATGTGAGGGGGATCTTTGAACCAGGCCTTAACGTAATCAGATTTTCCAAGGTCTGGGAGTGGTAGGTGTGTGCTGAGTAGGCAGAAGTCAGAGGCCCAGAAGTGGTGTGGTACAGTCCTTCCTCCAGTCCATTAGCAGACCCTGCTTGGTGAGTACCCGCTAGGTGCCAAGAATATGTTAGGCCCTAGAGCATTGCTGGGAAGGTAGACAGTAAACAAACATGGCATTCCAGGCAGCAGAGAATGCTTTGAGGGTGGCAAAATGGTGTGAAGGAAAGGCAGAGAGCGTGCTGACTGTGCTTGAAGTGGGAGCTTTTGCTGTTAGTTTGTATCCAGAGTCAGTCCTGCCTCCAACTGCCAGCCCAGCCCACACAGGACGCAGGCCACTCCAGGCCGAACAAAACACAGGGACACTGAAAGCCTTCCCACTTGGGAAGTAGTTGACTGGGGATGCTGAAGAAGTCAGGGGGGCATGTTAAGAAGCTAGACTTCCCCATATGGATGCTGTCAGATTGTTCCCAGGCTTTAGGGGAGCTAGGTTTGGTTTCTGGGTATTTTTTAAGTAGCTACATGATAGAGTCAGAACTTGTTTTAGAAAGTAAATTTTGCTCGCATTGTGGGAGAGCAGTTGGTTACAGAAGAAAGCATAGGAAGAGGACAGTTAGAACTGTCCAAATCTAAAAGATGAAGTATTGGCCAGCGATGTTATGGGAATGAAGAGAAGGGTATGGGCTTAAGCCATTTGTGAGGCAGACTAAAGCTCTGCATTAGCTAATGTGGTGATGCCATCAATGGGCAGAAAAAACAGGAGTTGTTTCCTGACAGAAGCCCAGGCTGGCTTCATTGTATGTAAGGAGGATGTGCCCTGTGCTGACTAGCAAAAGTACAGCTTACATGTCAAGGGTCATAGTTGAAGCCTTATAGTGGGCCTTACTGTCAGTTCAGATTAACTTGGAAAGTGGATGGGGAGACGGCTGAGTAAGGCACTCTGGGGAAAGGGCACTCTAGGTAGAGCAGTAGCGAGACTTAGAGGTAACAGTTCAGAGATGGCTTCAGAGCAGGAGGAGCAACACAGTGTCAGCAACAGCAGGAAGGTGTCAAATCTGCACTGCCTAACACCCCAATGTTGTGTGAAGGAATAAAGGGACACTCCTGAATTTGTGGTGGAGAAACAGATGTGAGCTGAGGAAATCAGAAAGCAAGTGTGAAGTTATTATTCCAAAGGGCTGGGCAGCAAAAGAAAGGTGAGACCACATCATGGAGAGGGCTAGCTAAGAAAGGATGCTTTTCTCGGTAAAGATGGGGATTCTGGGGCGTCTGTAGACTGGGGAGGAAGGGTCCTAAAAGAAAGGTGGAAAGAGGCCAAGTCATAAAGGATGGGCTGTGGGCGAGCACTGATGGAAGCTAAGAGTGGAGAAACTGAGTCTCTAGGCAGTAGCCTGTGCGCTCTAGAGGCCATATCTCGCACTTGACCGGGGTATGGAGTAGTGTAGGTTTCTGAGGGTGTGTGGAGAATGAGAACAGTCAATTGAGGAGTTCTGGTGGTGTGGACTCATTCCCAGTACTTGGGCTCTGATCTTTGGGGTCGAGCTTAGTGATTACTTGATTGAGGGCAAATCACAGAGTCAGAGACACCTTCCAGGCTTCAGTGTTCTGTCAAGCCAAGGTGCAGGGTCAGACCAGGATTTCTGAAACTATATTCTGAATTTGGGGGCAGGAGTGTTAGAAAATTGGAAGTGGAAGATGGAGGTATGTTTTGAGCTCCATTCAGCAATAAAATCCTCCTTATCGTCTGTAGAAATAAGTACTTCTTAGCAAATCTTAGGGACTTCACTCTGAGCTTGTAGGATATATTGCTGTCAGTCAGCAGACTCCAGACTGTTGCCCATTGCCCTGGGGGATGTTTCAGTAGTCCCTAGGGACCTGGGGATGGCCAAGGCTAGGGTTGGAGACAGCATGTACCACTTCCTTGTGTGATTTATCTTTCTAAAAAACTTGGTTTTTAGAACCAAGTTGGTTGGTTACAAATCATGCCAGTCTTATACTTCTGTCCAGGTAGGGGGTGTGCCAATGACTGACCAATGCCTTTGAGATGGTTTCAGGTTAGCTTTCTGGGTCCTTTTAGGAAGGTTTATAGATAATGAAAACCTTGGTGCTCTTTGTTTTATGTGAAACAAAATAAGGATTGAAATTTGAACTGATAATCACTATGAGGGCTGTAGTCAGTGCAGTTGGTTACTCAGCTACAGTTGGAAGTATCTGAGGTGTGCTGTTGTTGTCTAGATGAGAATAGGAATGTCTTTGCTGCAAACATGTGGACACTTAAATTCATTGTTTTAAATTCATATTTCATTCCCATAACTGTTCCTGTTAAAAATAAAATTGTAACCTTATTTATAGCTCACTTGCTAGAAACTCTTACAGATGAAAACTCAAGAGCAGTCAGACTCCCTGGCCTGACTTCCCTGCACTGAAGTCCCCAAAACACATTCAGTCCTAGACCCTGAAGGATCTTCAGTCTGCTTGGGACAGATCCTTCATCTTAACCTTGGGGAACATGAGCAGACAGTGTTTAGTGATCACATGTGCAAGGATTGTGAACGGAGTTTGTGTTGGGCCCTAATCTTAGCTGATGTAATTTTGGCTACAGTGTCAGGAGGCCGATCAGCTGAAGTAACCAAAATCTTGCCTGAAACAAAACAGATCTGCCACAATTAGCTGCTGAAGTGAAAGTCAGCACTGTCTCCTTGGCCCTCTGGCTTTCCCACTGCAGCTTGAGGAGAGTCCTTCTCTGTAACCTAGACCACCAGGCAGAAAACAACTGTCACTGGTGCATTTCACCATATTTTCCCCACTGAACATGTGGGTTGTCCCTGCCTGTCAGGTCATGTACACCAAGCTCAGTTGGACGACATTCACTTGTTCTGTTCTGGGCTCCAGCCACTCCTGTCATGGAGTTGAGATGCATGACCTTAAAATTTGGGCTCAAAAGTTCCTTTGTAGAATCCATCTAGTTTCCACTTCAGAGGTTTTTCCATGCTAGGGATATTAATTCTCAGGGCAAAATCCCTATTTCTCTACTATCTGATAAATATATCCTGAAGGACCTCCACCACCAAATCCCTTCCTCTGTACTACCAATGTCCCAGTGAACACCAAACACTGCATTCTCCCAGGAAAATTCTTCAAATGTCAAAGAGGCAGGAGGGCAGGATAAGTATTATCCCTGATTCTTGTATGGGAAACAATTTAAAAACTCGTGTAGGGAAGGGCTCGTTATTCAGCAGTGTCTACCTAGCAGTTTTCATATCCTTAGCTAGCCTAACAGAGGACCCTTCGAGGTCACTTGGAGAGAGGCAGTTATGTGGTAGGTAGGTTTGCTGTCATTCCATCTCATAACGATGTGTTGTTTTGAATTTCTACAGCAAAGTGCAGGCCCGGTTAGCATTCTCTGCCTATCTTCAGCATGTCCAAGTCCGTCTCACGAAAGACAGTGGTGGTCAGACTCTCAGCCCCAGTTGGGCTGCCAAAGAGGACGAACAGATGGTGAGCTCTGCTTGCTGGGACCTTTGACTTGTCCCTTTTCTTTCTTTCCTTCTCTTCTCCCTTCATCCCCAACTCAGCACTATATTCTGATACAAGAATTATTGCAGGACACAGTTAAAGGTCTAACCATGCAAGCCTGGTGACCTGTGTTTGATTCCCATTTAAAGGTGAAAGGAGAGAGTTGACTCCACACACTATCTTTGACTTACACATGCATGGTGTGGCACATGCATCCACAGGCACCATGTATGCACATGCACAACATACACGTGCACACACACAATACATGGTAAAGTGTCTAGATTTCTCATGTTTTCATATGATGTGAAGTAGATCTCTAAAGTCATATGCATTATGCCGTATAGTAGAGGCATCCGTTTACTCCATTTTGAAATAGAAATTGATTGCTCATTGTATGTTAAGCCCTATGTAAAGCCTTTGAGAAAAATAACAATCTCTGCCCATAAGCTGCTTTCCATTTCATTCTTTGAGGGAGGCATTGATACCTCATCTTACAAATGCGGATTCAAAGACCTAGAAAAGCCAAGGCTTTTGTTCTATAGTTTGAATGTGGTAAAACTAGAACCAGGATGTTACCCATTCTTACTTTTACTTTATTCCCATTATTTTCTGCCCTGAGGAGTCCAGTTAGCTCCCTGAAAGTCAGGACCTTTTTGTAAACTCTCTCAGAAAGTACTGTTCCTCAGTTTAATGTCTGCTTAGAGTTGTATAAAATTTTTGGTTTACTAGAATCAAACTTAGGACACTTTTGATGGTTCATTAATTATTTGAACACACCCAAGATTTGATGTTGTCGATCATAGTGACTGGAGAACCAGGTTCTTTAGTAAGATCAGAGCTGAGGCATTGCCACAAGCATAGGGTCCTTTAACTCTGAGGAAGCTGTGCCCTTTGTCAGTGCTGACTTTAATTTTTAGTTCTCTTTATGAAAGGTGCATTTTAAAAAATATGTTGGTTATCCCAGAAAACAAATGATAAATTTAAAGTAGCCAATACATCCCAGAGATAAAAACTTGTGTGTCATGAATAATCCTTCAACCATGAGTGGAAAATGTTAGCTCTACTCTTTCCAAGTGGAAAATCGAGCCTGCCTTTTTCAGAGTCAGTTTGTCTGCTCCACTGAAAAAATAATGTTTTAATATAGTGGCTTAAACCACGCTATAGTAAAGACATCAGAGAACTATATAAAATACCCTCTGGTTGTGAGACTGTACCCTTTATGCTGGAGAAAATTGGACTTTAAAATCATTTTTTAAAAAAATCACTTAGAAAAGAAACAAAACAAAAACAAATGAACAAACAAAACCAACCAGACTAACCACTCCAGTTGCTGAGAATTCACCCAAGATTTAGGACTTTCTACAAGAATGTATAATAAGATCACCACTGCAAAACCGAGTAACATGGTGCTACCCCTGGCTGTGGCTTATGAGAAACAGGTACACAGCTTCCCTCTCTGATCCAGGTTAGATTTAGAGAGTCTTAGATAGCTCAGAGAGCACCTTAATGGAACTCTCGAGACCCGCCACATAAAAACAGTTTTGCTGTCTTATGTGTCGTAACCTCTGTGAGAATTTCTCTGAAACATCTGTGGTGTCATGAATGACCTGATTGAGATTCTCCCTGATCTTAGAACCCTTTGCCTCCATCTTAAATGAGTCTTCCATTCTCTTAATGACTGTCCCTAGCTTTGTTCCCCTACTCCCAGCTCTCAGAGTTCCCTTATCCTTAGGAAGGAAGACTGTGTCAGCTTCCAAGCACTGTAACAGTTTTTAGCTTCCTTCATCACCACCAGTGGTTTCTGCTCTTCAGCTCCGGCCACCCCGCATGCCTTTGTTCATACCTCCCTTCAGGGTCTTTGTATGAAGTCTCTTGATGTGACCTCAGTGTCCAGGTTCAGGGGCTGTCTCCAGTGGGTGGTCCTTTCTCACTCTAGATGCTGGGAGTCTTTGATATTTGACCCTTTACCCTCTGGCCTCTGTGGCAGTGTTTGTTATTAGGATTCTTTCTATACCTAATTTTTGTGTTTTCTTACAGGGTCTTACTGTGTAACCTAGGCTGGCCTCTAGCTCACTTTCCTTGGGATTATAGGCATGCACCATTGCACCTGATTCTGTTTTTTTCTGCCCTCTCACCTTTGATGAGTTCATCTGCTTCTGTGATTTTAGTTTGCACTGACCTTGAATGCTATCCTAAATGGCTGTGTTTGAGCACATTATTTAAATTATGATAGTTCCGTTTGTACATACATACTTTATGGTGTTTGTATAACTACTGCCTTACATAGTTACTTGCATGTACATTTGATTTTTATTTTGTGATTGCCAAGATACTGAGGGAAGAAAATATTCTCCTTTTGTTTTGTCTTCATGTAGCTTCTTATATCTAACACATTTGTAAAAATGGGTGACATACCTCTCCTCACATCTCTTGTTGAATTCCCAACATTGTCCTCTTCTCACATCTCTTGTTCAATCCCATCATTGCTTGTCTTGTTGGTGTTTAGCACAATCCCAACTTTTGCCCTTCTCTTCCTCATTACTTTATATAGGAGCTAGTGGTCCGTTTCCTTAAGCGAGCATCAAGTAATCTCCAGCATTCACTAAGGATGGTGTTACCTAGTCGGCGCTTGGCACTTCTGGAGCGCAGAAGAATCCTTGCCCACCAACTAAGTGACTTTATCGTTGTATACAACAAGGTAAGTTGTTTACCCGATGGTCTTTACTTGTTGGTTCATCGTACCCTGTTGGGGACAGGCCATCTACTTTGTTGTGTTCTCTTGGCAGTTTCATACCGTATATGGCACTCATGGGCAGTCCTGCTGGGTTGAAAAACTACTTATTTTGAGGGGCAGTGGCTATATTTAACTCTTAAGAAATTGCATAGTTCCTTTGCACTCCAGTATACCTGAGGAGGATCCTGGTCTCTGGGTAACTGTATTATAGTATTGTGCCTTCAGACAGTGGTGAGTTGGTCATTTGAGAGTGAACTTAAACTATGAATTTCATATGATGTCTTGCCTTTCTATATTGGAAATTAGATTTTCTTCTCTGAAACATTTGAAACAGATATCATTTCACACATATAAGGTACACTATTTAAGTAAAATTTTTCCAAACTGTCTTACATCTGAGGTTCTAAAATCCATTTTAAAAAGATGTTATTTGGGGGAGAAAAAGTATGGCCACTATGTAAGAGGAAAAGCTGAATCCTGGAAATTGACATGGCTTTTCTGAAATTACATGGAAAGACTAGTGGACTGTCAGCACATTAAACCTGTAGCCACAATTTATTCCAGGTCTGTTGAGAATTCTGTTTTGTCTTACACAAGTAAAAATTCAGTTTGGAAACTGATACAAGAGGCTCTTCCAAGACCAATCTTTCCTCTATGAATTGCAACAAAATATTGTGTCTCTGTTGTCCAGCAGCACTGGGAAGCTGCAATTATCATCCCAGATGTTACTATAAAAGGCTCTTTCTCTATGACCTTGTTAGTAGAAAGTAAAAACATGATTAAAAATTACATTCTGCCACTGTTACCTGGGAATTTCAAAACATTTCATGAAATGATGACCTGAAGTAGTATATCAGATTTGTAAGCGGTGAAAGTACAAGAAGAATTAGAGCCTCTACTGTAAGGAGCAGTTAGCTGAAGGCAATGAAAGCAGATGAAACACGCATCCACCAGGAGCCAGTTTGATTTTGTTGTTTTTCTCTGGGTTTGGATGTGGGTAGGAAACAGAACAAATGGCTGAGAAGAAATCAAAGAAGAAACTAGAAGAGGAGGAGGAGGATGGGGTGAATGCAGAGAGCTTTCAGGAGTTTATCCGACAAGCGAGGTACTGCTGATTAGTAACCATGTACTCCTGTCTCCTAAATTGCCCATTGAGTCACCACCAGCCCCTTGTTTCTGCTACGTGGATATGAATAAACTCAGTCCCCAAAGGAGGGAGCATTTCCTAGGTTTGGCCTCTCCATATCTTAACCAGTTGTGTTGCTGTTGTCATGACTTCAGTTATCAAAACACTGCAGCTTGGTGTCTGGGCTGGAGTTCTAGACAGCATTCAAAGTACACAAGCCTGAGTCCTGAGAGCCTCTTGGAAATGTGAAGCTAGAGGCTTCTAGTATTTACTGGGTCCAGATTTATTCCTGACCTATTGATGCTGTGGAGATGACCAAATTTTGCCTACATAGAGTAGGGTGAGGAACTGGCGGTTTCTCAACACTGTGAGGGTCATGCCTAACTTATATAAAATAGAACAAGTTTTTCATGCTTAGTGTTGACCTTGAGAAATTGAAAATCTCTATGTTGAACTCTGCTGATGTAAGCCAGCCAGACTGTTTTACTCATGGACATTGCATTTCCAAAGGAAGAGATAACAGAAGCACTTAATCTTAACTTTGGTAAAAGCTCAGGGTGGAGGGCCTTTTTAAATTAGAGAGTAGTCAGCTTGGAGAGTTGATTTGGGGGTTAAGAGCATTATCTGGTTTTACAGAAGACCTGGATTCTGTTCTCAGCACCTACTACATGGTGGCTCACAACCATCTCTAACTCTAGTCCCAGGGTATCTGACATAAAATAATAAAACCTAAAAATATGTTTTTCTCAAATTAGAGGGTTATGTAGAAAACACTAAACTAAAGGGAAAATCAACTGTAAGCCTTTTTAATTAGGCTTCAGTAGTCCAAGACACAATGGCAGGGTGACAGTATAAAATCAACATTCCATTATTTGTGAAGGTAAATTAGGTAATAGCTTATCATTCGCTAACACTGAAGTCCTTGGTTAATTCTTTGAACAGACCTCACTGTGGCCTCAGTGTCTTGTGTTTTAGGTGTGGAACAAACACATAGATCATTTTGTTGGTTTATAGTTGTGTAATGCTATTTTGCTAATCTGAAGTCTTGAGTAATATGTTTCAGAAAGCAGGTATAGAAATGGAACAAGAAAGAGCTTTCCACATTGGCCTCATAAAAACAGCAAATGCAAAAAAGGACACGTTGGCTCAGTGGTGAAGGTGCTGTGCCTAAGTCAGAGACTTGAGTTCCGTCCCCAGGATCCACGTGGTAGAAGGGAAAACACAATTCCTGCAGGGTGTCCTCCATACTCCCTCCGTGGTATGGATGTGTTCATACACAAAGTAAATAAATAAATGTAAAAAGATTAAAAGCAGAAAAGGCAAAAAGTAAGTGATACCAAGAAAATAGATTTTTTTAAGTTCCTAAAAGAGCAAAATAGAAGAAAAAAACCCCAAACTTTTAAAAAAAGAGAGGCTTAACTGGATATGAAATATAAACCATATATGCTCTTAACTAGTAGAGTGTTGGGGCTGAAAACACATTGGGTCACATTTCTTGTTGGTTGTCATTTAAGCCACAGTTGCTGGGAGCTGTGGTAGTGTAGGATCTTTCAGTAAATCAGGGTGGGTACCCAGATTCCTTCAGTAGGCTGACGAACTCAAATGCCTGCAGGAAGGAGGCAGGAAGACCTACATGATGACGTGGGCAAAGGATGAGACAGGTACAGAGTGGCTTGTAGTTGGGCCAGCTATCCTCTGCCTTCCGACATTCTGAGAGTGCAAAATCAACACTGCCAGAGAGAAGCAGGGCCCATTGAAACCCCAGCTGTAGATATTTGCCAGTTACGAACACTATTATCTTGTGTTGCTTTTCTTCTTGGGGATCTGCGGGTTTATAGAGATCATAGAGGTGGTTTCCTGGGTTCTCATTAGTGTGTTCTACAGATGGCAGGTGGGTTGCTTCACGTCCTTGAAGGCTACCTATGTAGAATAATACCAAGCTCCAGAGTTAAGAAAATGGCTATCATGCTGGGCGGTGGTGGCGCACGCCTTTAATCCCAGCACTTTGGGAGGCAGAGGCAGGCGGGTCTCTGTGAGTTTGAGACCGGGCTAGACCGACAGCCTCCAAAACAATACAGAGAAATCCTGTCTCGTAAAACCAAAAAAAAAAAGAAAAAAAGCTTGAAAAACCATGACTCTACCACAGCTTATATATACGTTTCTTAAAAACTCTGTCTCGTAAAAAAAAAAAAAAGAAAGAAAAGAAAAAGAAAAAATAAAATGGCTATCAAAAAGTGTCTGTGCATGTTGAAAATCCCTGCATTATTACTTCAGAGCCCTTTGGCTAAGATCAAGTTAAATCTGTGCATGTTATGTTTCCTGGGAGGCCTCCTTCAGACCCTCTTCTGTTTTCCGCCACTTTATACTTTGTGACTATTCATGACATGTAATTTCAGTAATTCAAAGTGCCCATCTAGTTCTCTCTCATTCATTGTTCAGATGGTTAAGGATCTCTTCTGTGGTCACACTAGGCCTCTGTACTTCTGAGAGAGCCAGTTAAAATGCCTTGTGGCCCTTTTAGTGAAAATACTTCACTTATCTAGAGGGTTGATACATTGCAAACTGCAACCAGATGATAGTTGTACTCTGTGGTTCTGAATAATCTTTTTCACATACAATATTTTTTTAATGGTGTACATACCGGATGTCCCCCCCCACCCCCGGCCAGGGGGTGTCATACAAAAATAGGCCACCAGTAAACTTTGACCCAATCTGTGGTTTCAGTTCCTTACCAAGAGTGTGCTTATCCAGTAAAACTTTCTGTAGGTGACCACCAAGTACTTGAAATGTGCGTAGTGTGACTCTGGAAAAGAATGTTCTAATTTTATTTCATTTTAACTAAGTCTAAATAGCTCCATGTAACTATTGGCTGCTGAATCAGATAATGTAGATGTAGAAAATCTGTGCGGGTTAGTAAAGGTTTGTCATGGTCTACATTTCCCCAATTGCTTTCATTTATGCTTCATTTTAAGCTGTCTGTTAATGAGGAGCTTTTAGCTTGCACTCTTCCTTTCCCTCCTTACTGTTTCCATAATAAAATGTGAAAAGATTTTCCAGAGCAGCTTCCTGTGCTGACCATACTCTTTTCTTCATTTCAGTGAGGCTGAACTGGAGGAGGTGTTGACTTTTTACACCCAAAAAAACAAGTCTGCCAGTGTCTTCCTGGGGACTCACTCTAAAAGTTCTAAGAACAGCAGTAGTTATTCTGATAGTGGGGCAAAAGGTGGTAAGTATGTATGCCAGCTAATGTGAAACACGCAAACAAGTAAACGGAGACACTCAGGGAGTCATTGGGAATAAGAGCCCTGGCTGCACACCAGTCTTGAGTGCATTGGACTCTGCAGCAGGGGCTGGGCGGGGGACACAACTTTTGTCTCAAAAGCAACAGAAGGATGTCCTTTAGAGCTTTGCTTAAATTTCTTGAAACAGCAGCAGAGTTTGGGGTTATTGTCTCTTTTTAAACACCTGGTGTGTATTGAACACCCCCACTTCCTGTGTGCTTACAAACGGCGTGCAGAGCAGACTCCATTTTCAAACTTGATTATAGCTGGGAAAATGATTTTGGACCTGAGTACCCTGCTCCAGGGCTCCTTCTCCCCCCCCCCAGCCCCGGGTTTTGATCTTTCCTCTGTCTGATTGAATCTCTTGCTCTTAATCTTCATTCCTCATGCATCCTCTTAACATTCAGGCCTGTTAGGACCATTGGCATCTTAGAGAGAGTGTTTTTATGTTTTGTTTTGTTTTGTTGTTTTGGGGGGGTGTTTGCTTGTTTTCTTAAACAGTGTTTCTTTGTGTAGCCTTGGCTGCCCTTGAGTTTGCTCTATAGACCAGGCTGGCCTTACACTCACAGAGATCCCCCTGCCTCTGCCTCCCAGTACTAGGATTAAGGCCCACCACAACTGCCCGGCTGGGTAGATTTTTTGTTATTGTGTTTTGTGAGGTCATTCTATACCTAATGAGGTGACCTATGTTCTTGGTTCCAAGCCCCAGTGCCATTGGTTTCCTTCAGGCACTGTGATGTTCCCTGTGTTTTCTAAAAGTTCTCATTGCTGAGGAACATCTTTCTCAGAGATTTAGAATCAAATGTAGACTAGACTGAAGTTCATATTGTTGTTATATATATATAAAAATAACAATCACTCTGTGTCAACAAGCCCTGTGCTTTCTATGTAAGATAGATTTCAAACCTGGATGCAGGTGTGTCAATGCAGGTATCTTGTCAGTATTTTAATATTTTATTTATTTATTTTATGCATGTGAGTAGATGTCTTGCAGCATGTATATCTGTAGACTATTTGTGTGCATTAGATTCCCTGGAACTAGAGTTATAAACTGTTGTAAGCTGCCACGTGAGTGCTGAGAACTGAACCCAGGTCTTCTCAAAGAACAGCCAGTGCTCTAAACTTCTGACTCATCTCTCCAGTCTCCTTGTCAGTATTTTGAGTACTAGATTCAATTTCTCTGCTCTTAAGGCTATCCTAGTCTAGTGTGGGAATAGTCAGGTAAATTGATCCTGTCAGATTTAAAATAAATTCCCCAAAGAAACATAGTTAATTTTGTTTGTGATTACAAGGATGAGGATTGGTACTAAAACCTCTCTGCCACTGAGTTACATCCCAACCCAGTGTTGTAAAACTCACTTAGGCTATTCCATAAAGCCTGGTTAGCAACTGTGATCCTGAATTGTGTTTTTAGCAGTCCTTTTAAGCCCAGCTTCCTCTTAGAGCTTGTTTCTAACTTCATACTCATCTGTCCATTTTTCTTTCCCTTGTTTTTCATATTTTGTAATAACCCCTTTGATAGCTGCTAGCAATTCAGTGACCAGGGCCATCACAGCCCTGTGTTTGTAAAATGTAGTATCTGGTGAGTGGAGTTGAGATGGTGACAAGAAGGTTGATGGAAATCCAAAAAGTACCAGTAGCAGTACTGTGGAAGCGAGGCTGAGACGTGTTTACAATAGGGTTAGAGTGAGGAACAGTGTGTTCACCTGGTGTGACGGGGCCCAATGGGCATTCATGGGACAGTTTAGCCCTTGACAGTAATGGAGAAGACCCAGCGGCATGTCCCAGCAGCTCCTGTTAATACAGATGGGTCATTTCAAAATCTGACATCTGGTTTTTAAGACTACTTTTACATTAGAAGATCAATTCCTGCATTTATCTATTGTATAAATCTAGAAAGGGGTGTGAAGGTTTCAGTCAAGAAGAGAAGCATTTGATAGCTTGGTATCTGGGTTCGTTTCCTAGCTGAACAAGCCAGTGACAGCATTACCCCTGCAGGTGGTGGCGGAGCGGCCAGCACCCAGAAGCCGCTATTCCCTCTGAGAGGCTCTCAAGTTTTTGTATAAATCTTGCCTTTGGCTCAAACTTGGAACACTTCTCTAAGTTATGAATAGCTTTGACTATTCTGTTTCAGAATTCGATGGTAGAGAAAAACTGCTGAAATTGCAAACTTTAATATTTTTAAATTATTGAATATCAACCTGTCTCAGGTAAACTGAGGCACATACTTCAGGATAGAATCAGTGGCACACCAGTAATTAGTGAGACTATGCTTGCGTCTCACAATGCCACTCTTGTTCATGCCTGTTGATTTGGCTCCAGCCAGTCCTCCCAACCACTGTAATCTCGTGTCTCTTCACCCCTGCCCTAGTCTGGAATCCTGGTGGGATCACCTGACTTCCTTTACTTTACCTTCTAGGCATGTCCTAGCTGGGGTTGAGCATCTCTCCCTGATTTAGTGAGACTGAGCTGGTCCAGGCAACTAGGAACCACATGCAGGTGTTGCCATCCTTTAAAGGCTGTGGTAGGATGAGCAGTGTTTCCCAGCATTGATTAATACTTGCGTTCTGTCTTACGATTTTTATCAGTAAAGCACCTAAGTCAGTATCTTTTATTTCAGATCACCCTGAGACAATTCAAGAAGTGAAAATAAAGCAGCCCAAACAGCAACAGGCAACAGAAATCCACTCCGATAAATTATCTCGTGAGTGTTTGAAACACACGTTGCTCTATGATATACCTCTAACAGAAAAAGTTGTCAGTTGTTAACTATTTTAAGTGCATGGAACATTATTACCCTGGGAAGTTTCCTTTTGTTCTTCCCTTTCCCTTAGAATTTCCTATTGATAATTTTCTTTCCTTCAAAAGCGTTTTCCATTTTCTTTAGAAGTTCTGAGCACTTTCTGTTTTCCCAGAGGCAGAGGAATTAGCTGCTCCTTGTAGAAACTTCGTCCTGCTTGCTTAACATTTGTAGAACGTGCCTACTCTGCCATGTGGGGGGATGTCTCAACCCAAGCTTTTAGGAAGGGACAGTAATAAAGTAAAAATCTTGTTACCAGGCTGTCTCTGGCAAGCAAAATTTATCAAGTTCAACATGAATACTCGTTAAAGTCTGCATGATTTCTGTTTCATGTTAACATTATTTTGATGTCCTAAATGTTTATGTGTCATAGAGATTGTATGTTTATTTTTCCTAAAATGACCTGTTTTTTTGTTTTGTTTTGTTTTTGCTTTAATAGGATTTACCACTTCAGCAGGAAAAGAGGCTAAACTAGTCTATACCAATTGTTCTTCTTTCTCTGGTCCTGCTGCTGTTCTTCTGCAGAGACTCCCCAGCACCCATTTGTCATCTGTTATTACAACCTCTGCCCTCTCGTCAGGTCCTGGCCACCATTCTTCTTTATCTCAAATTTCTCCAGCTATCCCCAGCATACCTCACCAGTCAGCACTTTTACTGAACCCAGTCCCCGAAAATCCTCCTCCCTCCATACACCCTGGGACCCAGAACATAAGCCCCGCTGGCCTGCCACGCTGTCGATCAGGCAGTTACACCATTGGCCCCTTTTCCTCTTTCCAAAGTGCCGCACACATCTATAGCCAGAAACTGTCTCGTCCCTCTTCAGCAAAGGCAGGTGAGTGAGAAAATGAAGACTGCCTGCCATGTCACTGCTCCCCAGCCCCGTGAAAATAGAGCTCCCTCTGCCCTTTGCTTTTGCTGCCTTCTGCCGTGACTAAAGAGAGCTCTTGCCTTTTGTCCACTAGCATTCACTCACTGATACAAACTGAAACAGGACTGCTGTCAGGTTCTGCAAAAAAGAGATGAGTAAGGCAAGGCATCTAGATTTCCCACTGCAGATAATCATAGACCTGTGAAGGTCCTCTGCAGCCTTTCTGCTTCAAGTCATTATCCCTGACATTAGACAAACTGCAGACAACCTGAATACACAACCAAAGACTTTGTAAGATAGGATGTTTAATTTTAAATGAAGTAGACCCATATTATCAGTCATGTTCTCGTCCCATTTATTTTATGCTGTTGGGGATCGAACCCAGGACCTTACATGTGTTGGGCAAGCACCCTACCAGTGAGCTATATCTCCAGCCCAGTTTTTAATGGCAGCTTTACTGAGACATAACCCCTACTCAGAAACTTGGCTATTTTGTATAAGTTCAGTGGGTTTTGGTATGTTCACAGATATGTACAACCAACTCCACTGCCTAACTTCAGAGCCCTGTCTTTCGCCTTAAAGAGCCCATATCTATTAACAGTCACCCTCATTTCTTCCTCCTCCCAGCCTCTGGCAACCACTGGTAGCTTTCTTTTTCTACAGATTTTTCTCTGGATGCTTCATAGAATTAGAATTATTCAGCAAATGGTCTTTATGATTGGTTTCTTCCACTTAGTGTTGTGTTTCCCAGGTTCATCTGTTATAGCATGCTTTTTAAATAGCTGGATGGTGTTCTGTTGTACAGCATTTGTTTTTCTATTTGCGAGATGATGCATGTCTGTATTTCACTACTTTGGCCATTATGAATAGTGATGCTATAAGCAGTGTAGTAACATTTTCATGTGGACATAAATTTTTATTTTCTAGGGTATACAGCAAGAATATAATTGCTAGGTCGCATGATACATTTTCAGTCCTCATTTTAATCAAGCAAGTTCTTTCTAACATTTAATGACTTTCTGATTTTTTTACCCATCATAGAAGATTTGGGATAGAATCCATCTATATCTGTGTATTTATGTATCTATCTATTGTGTAGAAGGTTTATGATTGGCATTTCCTTAATGGCTAGTGATGACTATTTTTTCCCATTCCTTTTGAGTATTTGTATATCTTTATGGGGAAATGTCTATTTGATTTCTTTGCTAGTTTTTCAGTTGAGGTATATCTTTATCATTGAGTTGTGTTCTCTATGCAAATCCCTCACCAGGTGATTATTTTAGAAATGGTTTCTCCCTATTTATTGCTTCTTTTCACTTTCTTGAAGCATAGAAGTTTAAGTTTTCATGAAGTCTGATTTCCTTATTTTTCTTCTGTTGCTTTTAATTTGTGTCATATTTGAAAACATCTAGCACAAATTGCCCAAATTCATAAGGATTTTCTTCTATTTTTTTCTGAGAGTTTCACGTATGGTTCTTACATTTGAGACTTTTGTTCATTTTCAATTACATATTGTTCGTGAGGTGATGTTGGGGTTTAACTTCTGCATATTGATATTCAGTTTTTCCAGGGCCATTTATTCTATTTTATTTTTTTCCTTTTTTATTTTTTTACTTCATTTTTTATTACAGTTCTCTCTCCCACCCCTCCTTCTAGCCCCCCACCTCCCTGCTAGCCCACCCCAGTCCACTCCTCCCCACGGGTAAGGGCTCCTTTGAGGAGTCAACATAGTCTGGCACAATAGGTCGGGGCAGGGCCAGGCCCCTCTTCCATGCTTTAAGGCTGAGCATGGCTTCCCACCAGTACAAGCTAGCTCATGTACTGTGATTATATCATGTCAGGACCATTTTTAAATGTAATTTCCCTACTGTATTATCTTAGCACACTTGTTAAAAATCAGTTACCTGCGAATGAAAAGATTTCTTTCTGGTGTCTCAGTCCTATTCCTATTGATTTTGTACCTGTCTCACGCGGTATCACGTTGTCTTTCTGTGACATTATATTGCATTTTTAAATCACCAAGGGTTCTCCCAACTTGATTCTTCTTTCTCAAATCTATTTAGGCTTTTTGGGGATTTCTTGAAGTTCCATGAAAACTGTGAGAGTGTCAGCTTTTGCATTAAAAAAAAATAGGTCCATAGGGATTATGGCAAATCATTTGAGAGAATATTTTAACATTGGTTGAGATTTCAAACAATTTTGAAATGCCCATGTTAAAAATGAGTTATACCTAATCCACATTTTATAAGTAACTACCCTTAGTCAGGCATGGTGGTGCATGCCTTTAATCCCAGCACAGAAGAGACAGGAGTCTGTGAATCTCTTGAGTTTGGCTTTCATCGTAAGTTCTAGACCAGGCAGAGCTACCTAGTGAAACTTTATCTTTAAAGGGGGTGGGGTTTGAGCGGCAAGATGTCTCAGTGAGTAAAGGTACTTGCCACCAAGATGACAACCTGAGTTCTGTCCCTGGGAACCACCTGGTTGCAAGAAAGAACCAACTGCAAGTTGTTCCGACTTCCACACACTTACTGTGTGGTCCGTGTACATATGTACCTGCATATACACCAAATAAACATATAAATGTAAGTTTTTAAAGATGATTTGAACAGAATAGCAAGGTTGTCTCAGTCATATTTAGGACTATGCACCCAAGAAATAGAGAATATATCTACTCATGAACACATATTCTAAAAATCAGTTATAACCTGTATCATACGTGAGAAAAAGATTTATGATTTGGACTCATATAATGTCATTCTTAACCTACACTACAACTAAGTTAAAAGCTAATAACAAAGGAATATATAACAAATCTCTTTGTATTTCAAAAATCAAAAGCAGGAAAGGAAATTTTAATGTAAAGAAAATATTCTAGAACTGAATAGCAATGGACAACTGCACGTCTTGGTATGTGGAGATGGAAAACAGTGATCCACATCTAAGGAGAAAGACATAAAGAGATGTGTAAAAACTACAGAATTTAGCCGGGTGGTGGTGGCTCACGCCTTTAATCCCAGCACTCGGGAGGCAGAGGCAGGCGGATCTCTGTGAGTTCGAGGCTGGGCTGGACTGACAGCCTCAAAAACAATACAGAGAAACCCTGTCTCGTAAAAACCAAAAAAAAAAAAAAAAACCTACAGAATTTAGAAGTAGAAGAGAAGATACCAAAGCCACCCATGGCCTATGTCTCATGAAGAAGATATGCATTTGGTGAAACTAATAAAGAAAACAGAGAAGACTGGAACATTATAGAAGGAGTGGAGGAGCAGACAACGAAAGATGCGTAGATGAGATGATAATGAAATATGACCAACAACTTTATTCCCCCAAATTGAGATGGACAAATGTTATTAAAATTGTAACATGGTAAATTGACTCAGGGTGATGAAGAAGGCCAGAATAGTCCTGTTAGAATAATTTGTATAGTACTTAAAGTTTTTCTCTGAAAGAAATCTTTATGGGTAATTTCTAATGTTCTTTTAAGTAGATAATTCTGATATTAAAAACTACTAGAGAATAGCAGAATACACTTTAACCCATTTTGTGTGATTGGACTTGTCTTGAAAACAAAATAAGTTTGAGATAAAGTTAGAGAGGAAAATTATAAACAACCTTAATTTATAAATGCAGATGCAAAAATTCTAATCAAAATAAATCCAGCCAGATTTAGCCACATCTGAGAGAGCATACTCGTAAGTAAGTCTATTCAAGGATGTAGGAATGATTTAGTAGCAGAAGATATGGCAGTGTCATTTGCCACACTAACCGACTGAAGATGACAAAAGGTGTTTTGTCATCATTGTGAATGCAGAAAAAGATCTGATAAACTCCACATTCACTCATAATAATCTTGTGCATACCAAAAAGAGAAGAGTTAACCAGAGAAGAGTGTATCTGTCCCATACCTGCAGATGACAAAATGCTGATCATGTTGCTGTTCCTGTTGTGGACAGGATGAGGATGCTTAGAAAGGTTGCTTCTGTTGAGCATCTTACTGGAGGTCAGAAGCAGCATAGAAGATAAACAGTTAACTAAAACTGAGGCGATAAGATTTAGTTGCAGATAATATTCTGTCTACCTACAAAACATAAAATGGTCTCTAGGTACATTTTAGAAAAGACTTTAACTGCATAGTATTAGAAAACAATTGTTTCAAGTGAAAATATATGTAATAAAAAAAAGCACAAAGTTGGGTGAATTGTGAAGGGGAAGTGGGGAGTGTGGATAAAATCAGTATTATAAAAATATACTGTATGAAAGCCACAAAGAATACAAGAAGTTTAAATGGTAAATTTTATTACGTATACTTTATCAGCTGAAACCTCTTGAGTTCAGTTTGTGGTGCCTATACATGCTCTTGGGAGTGTGGGCATTCCATGGTGCATTGTCAGCCTACCAGAGGCCACACTCCAGAGTTTAAATTCTTTGATATTAATTATACCTAGCATTTTGAATCTATTGTCACCCACTAAACATTATGAAAGCATCTTGAACATTAGCATAAAAGTATAAACTACCCTGGGAAAAGTTTACAAAACTTTTTAGACATTGTGGAAAGTCATCAGACAAGACCTAAATCAATGGGTAAATGTTCTGTATGTGACAGGAAGCCTCAGGTCATCCATCAAATTGATCTCTGGATTCAAAAGTTCAGTCAAAAGCCTTAGCAAGTTTGCTGTTTAACTCTGTAAACCTTTTCTAAAATGATAAGAAAAGGAAGGCCCAAGAACACTGAGAACCTCTTGAGGTCTTTGTTAAGACTCATATAAAAGTAAGAAAGTATAGTGTTTGCAAAAGCACAGAATGACCAAAGGAACAGAGTAGAAAGTTAAGAAAAGTTGCACAAGTTGGTGGAATTGTTCGTCAGTGGGATAGTGTGTCTTTCTCATAAACAATGTTGTGGTAAGTCAGTGAGATCAGGTGCTGTCTCATCCACACATACAAATAAATTTCAGTTGTGAGTGGTGACACCCACACTTGGGTTGTGTAGGCAGGAGTATCTTGAGTTCAGGCCAGCCTGGGCAATATAGTGGGATCCTGTTTCAAAAAACAAAAATAGTTTTTCAGATCTAGAACTTAATACTTAAACAATTCTTAACAGGCTTATTATATAGAACAAAACTAAAAACAGAAGCACAACTCTAGTAACATCCTTTGTAAGCCAATGCTCATCAATAACCACGTGACGATTTGCCTGTAGAAAGACTTTCTAGGGCATGGTAAGGATTTATATGGATTTTTATTACAATTTGAAGGTTATCTTTGGCCTTTATGTTGTTAGAACTCCCTAGGATTCAGCAGTGTATCTGTCGGCTTGATATCTGTTTGCCACTGTTGTAATTTTACGCAGGACTTAATTCTTAAGTGGGTGAGAACTTTCTCTTTTTCAGCAGGTTCATGCCATCCCCACAAGCATCATTCAGGAATAGCGAAAGCACAAAAAGATGGTGAAGATGGTTCATTCAACAGAAGGTACAACCAGAGTCTGGTTACGGCCGAACTCCAGAGGCTAGCGGAGAAGCAGGCAGCCAGGCAGTATTCTCCATCCAGTCACATCAATCTGCTCACCCAGCAGGTAGGTGCACACCAGGCTGCTGCAGAGTGCTGTGGGCTGGGAGTGGGGGCCTGATGGGGCATGCTGACCTTCCCTCACTTGGCTGTTCCCTGTGTGCTCATGGCCTCCAGTGAGTCTCGGCTGCTGTTCATTGTAAAACTGAATTGTTTCTTCTTAACTGTGAAGAACATGACTCTTACAGGCACTGCAAAGTTAAATCTGTTACTGGCTCTTATGGTATACAGTACTGCATAGGTAACATCTAAATTTCAATTATAAATACAATTTTAATGGATTAAAATTTACTGTGTGTGTGTGTGCTTGCACACGTCTGTACACATCACCTAGTGTTTGTGGAAGTGAAAGGATTATTGCAGGAGTCCATTCTTTTGTTCTACAAAATGGGTTCCAGGAATTAAACTCAGGTCATCAGGCTTGGCAAATGACGGCCTTTGCTCACTGGGACATCTTGCCAGCCTAGGATCTTTTAAATTAACTGTTTTGCTTTTGAAAATTTCCAGTGAATCCTAACTTTATAGATCTTGTTTTTATCAGAGTCTCTTAATACTGTCTTTCCTCCCCTATCCTCCCTATGCCTCTATTTAGTTCATGATCTGAGAATGTTTCATGTCTAATGATTTTTGACATTGGCAGAAACAGACATGAGAGTACTGACTCTAGGATACATGTATATGTGTGTAAATGTATGGTACCTGACACTTTTATGATCTTTGGGTTCCCTTTGTTCTCTCTCTGGTAGTCTTCATGATATTGAATTGAATGTAGGCACCTTCTTAATGCTAAATGGAATCAAACCCTCCAATGAGGTATTGATGATAGTTCCATGACATTCACTTTGTTACATTTTTCTCTATTTCTGTTAAGTTTTTCAACTGATTGTCATAATGATAATTAAATCTGGTGGGGGGTGGATGGAGGTGAAAATTACTTCAAGTACATGTAAAAGTTGGCAACACACTACTCTCTTGTGGTACCTTAGTTTTTTGCTTTAAAAATATAGAGTAAAGAATAAGCCTAACTTGAACTTAGCTTTCCCTTGCCCTCAGCTCAGCACAGTGGGCAGTAATTATTTTCTTCACAATCCTTCATGGTTGGAAACAAATAGGTGAAGAGGCCTAACATGCAGTTGGAAGGAAACAACCTAACAAGGTGGTAATGAGACTTGAAGGGGACTGGATAGTTAGATATCGTCCATAGACTGATGGCAGTAGGCATGACCATAGTAAATAGAGAGAAAATTTGAAATGTCAGCTGTCCTTTGTGATAGGGTATTATTTTAAGGCGTGTGACTTTTGTTTGTGCTGTATTTGTTTAACTGTGTGAAGCTGTGATTCCTGCCTGTCTAAAACACCTGCTAATCTAATAAAGAGCTGAACAGCCAATAGTGAGGCAGGAAAAAGGATAGGCAGGGCTGGCAGGCAGAGAGTATGAAATAGAAGGAGAACTGAGGAAGAAAGCAGTAAGAGAACAAGGAGAGGAGGACATCAGGGGCCAGCCACCCAGGCAGCCACAGAGCAAGAAGGAAAGTAGGATATACAAAAGTAAGAAAGATAAAAGCCCAGAGGGAAAAGGTTGATATGAAAAGCTGGCTAGAAATAAACCAAGGTAAGGCCAGGCATTCATAACTAAAAATTAAGCCTCGGTGTGTGATTTATTTTGGAGCTGGGTGTTGGGGGCCCCCCAAAAGCCAGAAGATCAAAAACAACAATGATCCTTGGGAAAAGTGAAGATTGTTAGTCACGAACTGGCATTGCAACTTCCAGTTAAGTAATCTGGAAGCATCAAGACATTAAATTACTGTCAATATTAGTGTGTTTACATATTTTCAATTCCTATCATTTGCTATGTTTCAGAGCCCAGAAAATTCTAAGATCTGACCCTGTAGGAACCCAGGTTTGCACTCCCTTACTGGGAAGCCACCCCCTTTAGTCTTTGTCATCTGCAATGAGTCTACTGCCTGTGCTTTGCAGAGTCTGTCAGCTCTTGTTTGTGAGAATCAGAACCTGCCATTAGATGTCAGTCAACTTTCAGAGTTCCAACAGTAAGGTGTTTCTTGTGTGATGCCATACTGGGGAAGGTAGGTGCTTGCTGTACTGTGCACAAAACAGGGTGGAGCACCTAGGAGAGGCTGGATTGGTCAGCGCAAGACTTGCGTCCTTCTCCCACTGTCTGTATGATCTGGAGCGCTTCATCGCTCAACTTCTGCAGACGTGTTTACTGGGGGGAAAACACAACCAGGTCATAAAGATGGGATGTAAAAAAGCCCCTTTACAAAGTCTTAATGCCATGGACTTGAGAAGTACTGTCATTTCAACCCTTAAGACTTTAGAAATACAGCGTGATGACAGCGAGTTGTTAGATAAATGCATCTTGTTATTGAAAAAAAAAGTTAAGCTGTTTGTTATTCAGCCATTTCCTCTCCCAGAAGACAGTGGTTTAATTTGTAATTTGGAAACTTGTGTTCTTTTTTTCTTCTGCTACTTAATAACTAATAATACATTGTGATGATGTTTAATATACATTCTGGCACATTTGTTCTCTAGCTGCTTTTCCTTTTATGCTGTGTTTAAAAGAAAAGCTGCTTCTATTTCTTAACTGAGCTGGGTGATAAATGCTTGTGGCTTCCTGGAGGGAAGTGGGTAGGAGCTCTGGGACACTCTCTGAACTCACACCTGGGAGCTAACTAGCTGTCCACACAGGCAGCTTTGTGTCCCTAGACCTCAGGTGCTTGGGTTTCCCCCGACTTCACACCTCCTTCATCAGTTCCATGTCTGCCCTTTCTCTCCCTTTTCTCCCTTTTTGGGTGGCTAGTGAATAACTCCCCCTTCATAAGATTATCTCTGAATCTATTAATGCTATTGCTTTATTGTTGTAGAATTATTTTATTGTATTATCTTTACTAATTCCTTGTTTGTGCTTTACCTTATCTTTCTTTATTTCTCTATGTCTTGAGTTGCATGTCTAATTTATTTTTACGCATTCTGTATTACAGTCTATGAATTTCCCTCTGAGCATTGCTTTAGTTATATCCCATAAACTCTATTATCTACTTGTTTTGTAGGGAAGAAGTTAAGAGACTTTCACTGGACAAGGAAAACAGATTTTAAATTATTTGTATGCTAGTAAAGATTTGTAAAAACTTAAATTACAGAGTATTTATGAGAAGACATTTTCTTTTTATCTGTAATTGCAAATACTTGTCCTGCTAGTCAATGGCAATTTCTAAAAAACTTTGTATTTTGTTGTGGTTATTTATTTAAAAGAAAACACTTTATCCCAGCCCCTGAGAGTATCCCACCATTGATGATGCAGACAGCCACCCAGACTTAATACTAATATCCAGGAACACACCAGAGATTTCCTCGGGGAATATCAAGACTGTCAAAAGGGCAACCCAGCTTGCTGGTGGAAATTGAAAGAAAGCCAAAGCAGCCTTTTTGGTAGCACTCATTTTCAACTGTATCACAGGAAGGGCAGAATCAGCTTCCAGGCACCCTGGCATGTGTGTCTGTGAGGCAACAGGTTGATGGTGAGTTGGACTTGGGGATTGAGCACTGAGCACTTGAACTGGAGCTGAGAGCAAGGCCCCGGAGCCTCCTAAGGCCTTCAAAAGGAAGGGCTGGTGGAGCCTCTTGTAGGTGAGTGGAAGCCACTCAGACACGTGTGCTTCAGTGGGATCGCTCCAGTAGCTGAGAAGCTGGGCAGCTGCAGGCTGAGGCAGTGCCATGCCTTTCTCCTCTCTGTTTTCTGGTGAGAATAATAAGTAATGGTAAGCTAGCCAAAGTTAATTCTCAACCAGCCAACAACTGATGAATAGGCTTTGAGGAACTTAGCATTTATATTAGAGCCTGCATTTAAGGAATTTGTATAGCTAAAAGCAGAAGCTAATTTCCCTGGATTCCTTTTTGTATCATTTCTGTTATCATGCAGCTTCGAGTAAATCCTAGAATACGTAAGAATAACCATCTCCACCACATGAACAGTGGCCCCTAGACAAACAGGGAAAGGTTGACTCCAAACTGCTTATTTTCTAAGGTATGCATTGAGTAGCCATGTGCTAAGGATGTATCATACACCTCCTCTGTTGTGAACGTACACACACTGCACCTTCTGGGATGGAACCTTTTAGTGGTTGATGTGTGTGTTCCTGAAAGCAGTGTTAAGAAGCATCTGCAACTCTAGGGGGAGGGGTTCCGGGATGCTGGAATAGGGCATGGGCTTAGGTGTGAGGTCTCCGTGTCTCTCCTCAGTCAGGGCTGCAGAGGAGGGCAGGCTAGCATAGACAAGGCCCCGTGTGGTCATTGCTGTTAGTGAACAGCAGAATGTGGCAGCAAAGGGGCCCCGTTTATGGTGAGGAGCGGGAGGCCGGGCATTAGGGGAGCACTGGCCCTCTCTGGCCGGCAGATTTGAGATTTCAGGACTCAGCTATCATTAGGAGCAGTTCCAGCTCTCCCAGCCTGGGAATTTAATCAAAGGGATAGCAACAGACCACCCAGGCAGGGCCCTGCCACGAACCCGTGTGCTATGTCAGTCTGCTCCCCAGCCAGCCGTGCAGAGACGTGGCCAGGCCTCCTGAAATGTGCTGACAGACACAGAAGAGGGAGAGACGCTTTGTGCTCTTGAGATTTTTCATTTTGATGGGAAGCGGAACAGAAAACCACTCGGTTTCTTTGATTTTGTTTCTCTTTACTCCGGGACTGCCCTGCCTGATCCTGCGGAAGGGTATATCCAGGTACAGAACATTTGGTTTACAGTTGTTAGTCCTTCACTCCTCATCTACATCGGGGAATTCTGTATTACCCTTTCAGTTTCAGGAGCTTCTAGAAAGGTCCACAGTGGGCCTTGGCCCAGTTTCAGAAGTTCCAGTTTGAGAATCAGTGCAGGCTCCTTGAATTGGATACTAATGTCCTCCCCGCACATTACAGGCAGGGGACATGGCTCTGGTAGCTTTCTTTTCCTGTCTGAACTCATCTGAACACATGAACTACTGTGCACTTTGG